AGACACTGTTTTTGAAATCATTGCAGTTACATTTCTGAAAGGCCATACTTGACCTAAATGATATTTGCAGAAATAGTTATAGGATTTTTTTTTATATTTCATTGTCAGTGGGTTGAGCAACGCAGTCTAGTCTATCTCTTCCAGGGCTCGGCACAGGTGGCTTACAAGCAAGCTGGATATCATTTTCGGAACAAAAATATATCTCCCTTTGTAAAGAATCTTCTCGTCCTCGCCCATAAAAAATTTTGGGACATAAGTGTTGAATTCAGACCGAAAAAAATATAAATGAGGGAAGGATAAACGATAGAGGTAATCAGTGAGAAATTGGTTGAGTAGGTTGCAATCCATATTGTCTGTCATGGCTGTCAAGTATCAGCTCTTTCATTTTTTGACATCAGCCTATCTGCCTTCTACCTTTTATGTAAATCATATTTTCTCCTAGTCACTGATTGTATTTGTGTCACAAGTATACATAAGCCATCTATAAAAGTTTTCCATTGAGTTCTGTAGCCAAAAAATTCGAAATAAATAGATGATTTAATGCCAGAACAAATTTTCTTTTGTGTTTTACCATATCGAGTTCACCCTTGGCAGATTTTTCCCTTCTGTGCCGTAGCACATGGCCTTTAGACGACCGAGCAGAGAGTACAAAATATCAAGTTTCTGCTACTATTGAATTCTGTTTGTACATGCCATCTATCAGTGATTCCGACGTAAACACTTTGGTGTTCGACACAAGTGTGCGGTGTGTTTCCGCTGCTCAAACAAGCAGCTCACATCGCACTCGGCTTGCTCTTCAAGGTGAAGGAGCACTGTTGTCTGATATCAAATGCATGGCGCCGACAGCATTTTGAATGGAAAAAGGGTAATTTCCTGTGAAGTCTGGAAAATTTATGGTTTTAGTCAAAACGGCAAAAATTGGTCTTTGGTCTGGGAAAATTTCAGGATGTTCTATCTTCGTAACTGCCTCTAAAAAGACGAAAGAAACTTTGCCAAAGAAAAATCAATGGGCCTTTTCAGCGATGAAACGTTGCGACAAAAAATGAAGCGAGTTCATATTTTACATATTAATTTCAATTCTGATAAATAATTTCACTACATTTGGCTCGCGCAACCGTTACTTCTCGTAATGCGGTCGTTCAAAATGTACCAAAAAATCATGAAATTTCAACGTCTCACAATGAAATACGTAATTACAGAAAGATCTGTTGCGATCCGTTTCTGGGGTATCGAGAATTCGTGATGTTGAAAAAGAAATTCGACACTCTTCGAAAAAAGTTATACCTTTTCTCGCTTTTGTCGTCATAAGGGCGTCGCACTGGAAAAAGCTATCGCAATCCGTTTCTTGAATATCAGAATCTGCATTCTGAGAAGAAGAATATTCAAGAAAGTTTCGTAGTCTTACTATTTCCCAGAATCTATGAAAAGCACTTGACAACCCACTGTTCAAACTTTTTCTCCCAATCAATCAAAAGAAAAAACCAAAAATTCCTTCAAACTCCACTTGACTTTGACTCCACAAAGACTTTCACCCTCCTGCTGTGACACTCTATGAAAAACTCAGCAGCAACAGGTTTTGCAATCTTCTCCTTCTCTCTCTCATGATCCGTTTCCAAACTGCATTTGTACTTTGTACCAATGCCAAAGCAACCTTTCAACACTTTGGAGACGTAAAGCGCCCCGAAAATGCCGCAAAGGACGTTAGTCATTTACGCTAGTGTAATCTAGGTCTGTGCCGACAAGACATTTCGGCGCAAAGTTGACATATAAAGATTAATATGGCGATTTTTTTCTGATAAGCAAAGCCTTATCCAGAATCTGAAGTGTAAAAATTCTTAGGGATTCGACGAATTCTTAGGTACGTTGATTTCCCTCAAATAACGTGATATGACAACAACGCAGATTGCTATCATTTTTTACAATTTTTTCTCCAAAGTTCTTGAAGACGCGCTTTTAACTACCTTAACACAGCACAGTGAGTTGCCAAGGTGAATGCATCGGATTTGAACGTCAAAATTTCTTCTACTCTCTTAAAAATTTAGACATTCATCAACTTTACTGCTGTGACATCATAATACCAAAGCTCTCACTTCTGATCTAGCCTATAGGGGAAAGCGAATTTCCCAGCATTTTTTGGCTGGAGTTGCTGGGTAACAACATGTCGTTGAAGGGGAGGTCTCGTGCGGACATCTACAACAAATGCGCACTCTGGCATGTGTAAGAGGTGCATATTTGTTGCAGCGTTCCCCTTTCGGCGACCTCGTCCTTTACCTAAAATCGCTTAATCTCGGAATGCGTACAACAGCAGAGCGGACCTGCGTACCTGTCGCGCTTTTTGTAGGCTGCTGCAGGACCACCTCATGCAGGTCCTGCTTGAAGCACAGCCAAGTGGCGGGGTACATAAGGCTGCGTTTGAGAACAGCCCTCGTCATCTTGATCTTCGTTTTCATTACTGATTATTCTTTTCATACCTGGCTACGTTCTGGGCAGCTTATGCTGTCGAGGATTTCGTGCTGAGCGGTTGAGCTTTTGAGATGTTGTGGGTTGGACGCGCAAGAGTGCGAGGAACCCTTTAAAGGCACCGTCCACCCAAATTGGGGTTGTCGAGATTATGATACCTAGCAGCTGCGGGGCCCCCGACTGTATGATTGCCCAACTTGCGCTGCCTAAAGTTGCTTCCGAAGCGAGAAAATTGCTTCGGAAATCGCTTCAGGTGACGTTCGCCACGTTGGCTCCTCCCCTTTTGGAGTGGGCGTGACGTTCGTTCCGCCCCCTTCAGAGAAAGCTCGAAGTAGACAGCAAGAGTCAGCAATCACCGCTCGGTTAAACACACTATATGCAGGGCGCGCTCACTGACATCTTGTAGGCAAAAATTAGCGTACAAACAAACAACGCAACAACAACGCTTACAAACACGTATTATGATGGAATATCACAAAATAAGCAGTACGGAACAAAAAATAGAACGGAAACGAAAAAACAGAAACAAATACACGAGTGCGCTAAAGAAGGACGCAGCGCTCCTCTGCGTCTCTACCCTGCCGGCTGCCAGGCGACGTTTACGACGAATTCTGATGACGTGCAAAACTCAGAATTTTGGAGGTTTCTTTCGATTTTATGCCTGGATTCAGATTCAGCGTGCTCAAGAAGTACGGAATAGAACAAAAACTCGAAATCGAATTTGGGTGGACGGTGCCTTTAAGGTTTGTATATGTACACTGTTTGTGGTATTGGAGCTGGTAAGTGCACTGTTCCATGGAACTGGGTCTCTCGCGGCCGACCCTGAGCATAACCCACGACTTCTTGATATGATTGAGCCTCTTGTACATCGGCAGCACGGGATGAGCCGCTCGTCTCGTGTTATATTTTTATTTATTCATTAGAGTATGAGTCTCGTAGTTTAGTTGTACTTCTTTGTCATTTGCCTTGCATTTGTTTTTGGTATATAAATTCGCTTGACATGTCTTCGTAGGGTTAGTCGCCGCGGTGACCGCGTCGAGTGGACGCGCCGTAAGGACCCATCGGTAGCGGACGCGCAAGGTCTTAGGGCATGGGATTGGTTTGTAGGCGCAGTCGAGGGTACTGAGTCCACCAAGCCGCAACAAAGAGCTTAGAAGTTGATGGGACGGAACGTGTGTCTAAAGAAGCCGCGTGTTAACGTTGCCTAAGGCGATATAGCGTTTTCGAGATGTTATACAAAATACATTAGCTAATAAACTACATGAACAGGCGATCTGCACATGAGGATGCTGTGTCAAAATTCTGTAGTTGAGTTGAGAGATTTCTGGGCAGTAACGGTACTCATATCACAGCAAGCATGCTTATTGCATGACCTTCATACGATACTTTGGCAGAACATGGTGCGATTATGAGGAAATGCCGACTATATCGGCACACTCCGGCCAGCGAGAGAAATAAGAACAGCCAAATGAGGCACAAGAACAATATCTATAGTTGATTCGTTGACCGCACGGACTGAACATCACTGCGGAGCACACGCGCGGGGTAAAACGCTTGCTCCAGTACAAAATGGCCATTGTCCAAGTAGTGTTCTCTCGACGCAGCCGCGCCTCGCATGGTCTGCAGCGTTTGAGCAGTCCGTGTGGTCAACGAATCGACGATACGTAAATCAGAATCACTTTCTTTATCGGGATACACTGGAGCCGTGCAATTCGCAGACAGGTAGAAATGCGGCCCACATCAGAAATAGTATAACGGCATTTGCTCTTGTGGACTCGTTGGTGAAGTAAAATCCTGCTACTAAATTGACTTTGCATACACTTCTACAGTGGAAGGCAAAATGGAACACAGTTTTATTTATTTCGATGCGACTGAAATGCATTGCCTGTACATGTCGTTCTTCGTCGATAATCCAAATATTTGCTGGAGCACATTTGTCGTGAGCTGGTCAGAGGTTTCATTCGGGTTCACTGTAACCCTTTGGCGAGGTAGAACATGTTGGAGTGTGTTATTTGTTACATAGAACACATTAGCTATTGAGTTTTAGCAATCGGGTCTGCGCCCGTAAGTGCTAAGGTAGAATGCTGCAGTTAATAGGTGTGGCCAATCAAGTTGATAAATCGTATACCGACACAGAGCTTTCTATTTTTTCAGTGCTTTGACATTCATTGCTTTTTAATACGGCAAAACGTAAGTGTGCACTTGTGTGCATATATTTAGCCCCTTTTCTCATTCGGGTCATAAAGTATTGATTTAGAGCTAACAATTTGAAAGCCCTTCGTGCCAAAGCCACTCCCCATCACTGGAAAGTTCTATCCTTCTCCCCCTCAGGAGAATTCCAAAAGGCCCTGCCGTATAGTTATCGCCGCAGAAGCTTTATAGATTGAGTATGGGAGTGTATAGAAGCTGTATAGTGTGTATAAAAGCTTTGTCCAATGTAGAATAATATCACCTTAATGAGAAACAATCTAGCCCATTAATCAGAATCTTTCATTCATCCTTAGATAAACACACGAATCAGCACCGATAATATGCTAGTACATTAATTCTAGTCAAAACACGATTTTCCTCATTTTTTTCTATCTGCTGAGCCAGTCCACCAAGTCTTATGTTTGCAATTGGCGTATCGCTTTGAAATCATCGAAGAATCCTTGCGTTTTTTCTTTGTATTTTGTCGGGAACTTTGCCTGATAAAAATTGTCAGGTGCCAAAAGAATAGAATTGGATGGAAATTACCCTCAGATAATCCAGAACACTGTATACGACAAACACATAGAGTGACTCTGTGTTTATAGATGAAGCTCTTTGATCTCGAAGCTGCTTGAAGAGTCGCGGTAGCTAAAACTAACGTATTTTTTGGCCATGATGTATATATTTGAAAAATTTTTCTAAAATAACTTGGGATAAAACTTACCTCAATTTTCTCTCCAGAGAACAATTTATGCAAGATTACGTCTATTAAAATTATACTTCCCGTACGACCAATTCCAGCTGAGCAATGCACCACTATAGGGCCACAGTCAAGCCTGTTTGCCTAAATGCGAACCGGAATCGTAAATTCAATGGAAAATTCCGCAAACTATACTCACAACGACCATGCGCAATAACCGTAGAACATGACGGCCGCTGGCAGGCACTCCTTTGTCCGGCCAATTTGTCATGTGAATCATCTTCACAATATGCGAATCCGAGCAACCTTCTGGCAGCAGTTCAATGGTATAAATTGTGAACTGCTCCTCAAATTCGACCTAAAGTTACAAAGTGTCGCGACTCCACGATGCGAGCACTTTTAGAAGTACGTGGGCTGGAAACACTGTTTGCTGCGCTATTCGGTGATGATTACGATAATCAGCACAATCGCTGTTGCGGCGTGCTCACCTTTTCTTGCTTAGCGCGTTTCCAGCCAAACGGCTATATATGGCGCCTGGGTTTCATCATAGCATCTGGCTTCCTTTTTCATCAACACTATATGTCATGGTTCTCTTTTGTGCTCCAGCCTGGCTGACAAGCTTGCGCTTTGGATACCCCCTTACGTCAGCGGTAGAGTGTACATGATGGATCGCAAATAGACTAAATTTGAGGGAAGAGAATTTCACAGGGAAAGTAATTTTAGGGCCCTAACTAAGACACGGCCCAAGCGGCAGCGCAAATGACTCATTAACGACTGAGATATTTACCTCCAAACTGGACCTCAGGATCGTATTATCGGACGACTTGCATCGTATTTGCATTTTTTCGCGCGAGAACCAACGCAAAATTGATGTGTTGTGCCATGAATCCATGCGAAATACGATCCTGAGGTCCAGTTTGGAGGCGAACATCTCAGCCGTTAGAACACCATCTGAGCTGCCGGTTGTGCAGTGTCTTAGTTAGGGCCCCGAAATTACTGTCCACATGAAATCCCCATATGTCCAGGGGCTGGACGCTGCCTTTAAAGGCCCCAAATTCTCGACATCCATGTTTTTATCGCTTTTAGAACTTCTGAATACCCTATGATTTTGAATATGGAGTCGAGATTCCGCGAAGTTCCAAAAACCCCATTTTGGAGAATTCACTGCAACAAACGCAGGCGAGGGAAAGAATGCAAAGCGGGCGGGCGACCAGTAAGGTGGAGTAACCAGTTCAGATCTGCTCTTTTCGGAGCGGATTTCTCGCTCCGAAAGCAATCTTTTGCTTCGCAACTTGGAGGTTTGCTTAGTGTGGGGGCCCATACTAGTATGCCCTCATAATCTCGTCACACACACTTTGGGTAGACGGTGCCTTCAAATACTCGCGCAAAATGAGTAGCACGGAACGGGCGCTTCGGTCCGTGTTGGAGTCTTAATTTTGATAGCAAGCTTAATCTGATGTTGTTTGGTGTGCTTGTTTTTTGTTTTCTTTGGGCCATTGAGGTAAATAAGAATGTATATATTACTGCAGAAGGCTCAATTTTATGCTAGGATAGTCGTATGTGTAGGGCTCTGGGCATACTTCAGGCGATTTGGCAAAACTCCAATCGTGCATAACTTATCGTAAGGGGTTTTGAATGTACGAAATATAGAGCATTTCATCATCTACGAAACTTTAACATGCCGTGCATTTCAGGTCTTCAGTATTGAGTTTGAAGACATCTGGCAAATGCCAGATCGCGTGGCTACTGAAATCGAATGAAGTATACCCGTGGCCTAAGCATGTTAGCACAGGGCTTCTCAAACTAATTCTAACCTTACCTTCTTAGTGTTTACGAACATTTTATCGTAAGTGTTGAAGGCTCCGGGATGTTGTGGCCAATATGTGGTGCACTTGACTTTACCATTTTCGATCATCTGAATGTTATTGACACTAATTTTTCACGGTTTATCAATCCATCACATACAAGCGCATGCAGCACTGAAATGAGCGCACTTACGGGCGTCAGATTCACAATGCTTGGACATTTTTCTTGAAAGATCATTCGCCAAAAATCATCAATAGTATTATCAAGCGGAGCCTGAAACATAATGACTGGGCAAGAAAATTCTCAGCTGAGAATGAATTTTGTAATAAAATCTATTCACTTGAGTGGCTATGAACACTCGGTCGTGTTTTTCGAATTTGATCCAGTTCGCATGGATGTAGTCTGTCGACGGTGGCACATCTTGTGTTAGGATGACTCGAGTTGATTCAATACACACAACGTCCTAAAGTCATCGTGATACGCCGAAGGCAAGACCAGACTCGCGTGCGGCGCTATGTCAGTGCTGTGCCAGCGCAGTTAATCCCTGCCAACACCGTTCCGGGACCGTGCCAGAGTTATACAAGCATGGTGACGGCGGTGCTAGCCCGTGCTAGCGTCGTACCGGTGCTGCCTCGATCGGATAACCGGGATATAATGCTTGAAGTCGACAGGGCGCACGAAAGGCGTTGACACTGCACACGTGGTGACTCGTATAGTCTAGCATTTCAAATGTCTCTCACATTATAGCGATTCCGGTCGGAATGTTTCAGAAACGAATCGTACTTATATATCTCATCTGGTGCACGATAGGAAGCTATGCTTGCAAACTCTTTTTTGAAGCCTTCAACTCCTGAAAGATCACAAATCAAAAGACGTTACAAATCACAAAACTGTCGCAACCAAATGTAGGTGAGACATTTTACGTGAAACGGTTTCGAGAGCCCCAAACTGGCATTTTGGCAGACAAAGATTGCAGAGAATGAGGAGATGCAGGCAAATCGCTATCACGATCGGTCGAGTAACGGCGCGAGCCGTCGGACGTATCTCAGCCCAGCTTCTGCCTAAACAGGGCTGATTTGACTGTAGAAGTCACCTGTGCTTATGGCATTGTCAACGTAATCGTCGATAAGCCGCTCCATCTCATCTGGAAGATCTTTGTCGCCTTTTTTACTCCGTGTTGGGCGAATGCGAGGACCATATGTCTGAATGGGTCATCTCAATTTTTCGGCAACTTTCCTTAGGAATTGGGCCTTACTTGTTTTCGTCGTACTGCACATACTGGAGATTCAGCACTTTCCATGTTTCTTCCCGCCACTTTACGACTGGTTTTCTTTCTCTGAAAGACAAAAAGTCTTTTTAGACTTTGATAGAGACCTGCATCGCTTACAGTAAACATCTTATGGAGTTGAGACCAGCTCGTATGGGACACTGGTACCAATGTACTCCTCTAGCTGCTGCTAGCGATATAAATACTAGCAGTTATCATTCTCTTATAGTTTACACTGCTTTCATGGAACACAGCAAACGCGTAAAAAACGGCTGCATGTACTATTAGGATGGTGGTGATATGTACGACATGCATGAGTTTTCCTAACTACCGATGATATGATATGATATGATATGATGTTTGTTGTGACCATTTTGGAAAGTATCGACGGAACTTTATAGTATGAAAAGAGCATTATTTGATAGTGCTAACAGCATAAAAAGCTTCAGCGTCTAAGGATTCCACTACGAGCAACCCTGCAGCAATCTCAGCAAACCCAAATTACCACTGTGTGGCGGCTCGGTGGGCCCTAAGCACCTAGAATTACCCGATTTACCCGTGCCCTCGCCCGCTTACTACATACGACGCAACCTAGCCTACTGCTTGCCCTAGCGCGTAACAAAATAGAGAATAAATTACTTAAACTTCATCCTTATGACACAAGGAAAACGAATAGACACTAAACTAAAACACTAAACTACTACTACAAAACTACTAACTAAAAGAAGAAAGACCCAACACGGGACAGGGTGCTCTATCCCGTGCTACCGATGTTGCGCGTCTATATAACATCTAAACATGCTAATGCTCCCGAGGCTTCACCTATACAGATGCGCCACGCGTCGCCGGATACCAGGCGCGACACCTCTCCGCTCCCGAAGTTTACAAGATCTTGAATATCCCAAATCTCAAAGCTCCAAAAGTGGCTCGTCCAAAATAATCCCAAATTAGACTTGAATCTCAACCCAATACAACTTCCGATCGCTCGACCGCTAACGCAAAAGAACATCAAAAGCGGGAGCTAACTGCCAGGCACGAGCACAATGGAAAACATACGAAAAGCTTATCGATCGAAAATGAAAGCGAACAGACGCTGCAATGAGGCGCCGCCGCTATATATAGGCTTTTGGCTGGCAACGCGCCAAGGCGAGGAGAGGTCCAGCAACGATTGCGGCGAACGTAAGAAAGTGCCGTTATCGTCGCCGTGTAGCGCGGCAGCAACCAGTGCTCCCGGCCTCCTACTTCTAGGAGCGCTCGCATCGCGGAGCCGCGACACACTGCTTCTACCACCAAACCTCCAACTTCTTTACAAAGATAACGAAAGCATCGCACTTGGTTAGTTTTACTAAACTTGGAGGGAAGGCAGTTGACTTAGCTCGTCCTTTTGGTAGGAGACATAGTATATCCTGAATCAGCTTGAGACGCTGATTCCGATGCTATTCCTACCTTAATTAAGAAGAGAGTTATGAGCTTTTTTTGTGCGATTGGGAACTACCAAACCTTCGATACATAGAGCCGTGTACTGTACTCTGATGAGCTCCACTTTCAGCGCCATGAGAGAACGCGACTTCCACTTGAAAAAAGGAAGTCATCTGGGACTTTGCTGCGGTGTTAAGATCATAACCCGAAAATGTGAATGAAGTAAGTATCATGACTTGCATAATGGGCTAAGGGTTGTTTATGTGTTTTTGTGTGACTGTCCGTCTGTTATTAAATTCGCAGAGCAAGTTATAGCCAGCCGTTGTTATAATCTTAATTCTAGCAAGCTGTATATCATACTAGCTCCGGTCCCAGGTCCCGCCCGGGCCAACGGTCCAAAAGCCCGTCTGCTTTGAGATGTTTGCTTACCATTCCTCCATTTCCTTCAGATCATATTTTCTCTTCCTCTCCTGCTTCAACTCCAAGTCAGTTCCAGCACACGTGTAGTATCCGTGGTGAATTTGCCCTTCTTGACCGGCTCGCTTCGTGACACCGCATCCTCCTCACCGCAAAATGTAAATGATCTCTACCGCCCCTTACTACTCAACTTGGAAAAATGAATGATATAGCTTTCATTTTCCTAGATGTTAGTAAACAAATCAATGGATCGATAGAAGGACCCAGTGAATCGTCGCAAAAAGTAGCCTATCTTCTGCGCCTGGCCTCACTTATAGGGGAGCAAATTTCAGCCTCATCGATTCACAAACAAAGGAGTCTATAAGCCACATACTTACATACGAACAAATTTACAGAGATTGAGTTTTATTTATATATAAATATAGATTAGCTCTTAGTCTCTACTTTTACGCCCACAACGTCGCAAAACGCCGATTTTAATTTGAATGAGAAATCTAACAAAAACCGTGCTTTCGGAAATCTCTTGTTTTTCCTTCAGTTCAGTTCTTTTCATGCGGTTTTTTGTGCATTTAATAGATCTTGCTTCTCTCAATAGTGCAAGCAACGTCGCACAGCCTACTTCTTCGACTATGACAGAATTTTTTGCGAAAAATCGTTAAAAGTGCGTTTTTCTTTACTTTAGTCTCTTCCAGCTTTTTCGCGGCGATTTTACTCCAACTCAGGCGATTATTGCACAGAATAATAAGCGCGGAAATCCAGACAACGTCGCAGGCGGAAAGAGCAATGACAATGTGGATGTAAAAATTCGAAGGACGCATTAAAAACTGGGTTGGCTTTGACATACTTCCCGACTTCACAAAAACAAAACTTAGCAATTTTAAAAAATTCTTTTCTTGTTAACCTTTCTCTAGGTTTACCACTTCCAAAACTTAGCTGTTTTGAAACAGTTACAAAGAAAAAAATTAGCTTCTCCTAGTCTTCTCCCGTGTTGTGGATTGCCTTGTCCTGGAGCGAAAACTTGCCATTCGAAATGTCTCCAAATGAAAGATTTCACACCTCTGGCGGCTCCAACATCGTAGAACAGCGCCTTGAAATGAAGCTTCTCAGAATGCTCAAAATTCATGCTTTTTAAGAAGACACGAGGCTGACAAGGGAATGGTCAGAAATCGAAGTGGGCAATCCACACAAGCTGCATACCATCAGATGCAGCATAAAACGCTGATTCTAAATCTGTGAGTTGACTGAGCAGGTGCTACCGACTGCTTAAACGTCTCTCCAAGGCAGCCACCGAACGATGCCCTTTTCTGACGTCACAATTTTCATCGTGAAGCAGGTTTTTGATCTCTAAAGCAACAGAATCATCACCTATTCGCCCCATGAAGCCAAAAGCAAGGGTTGACTCGCAGGAAGCTTCATCTGACTTCTGTGATGTTTGTGCGGCGATCGCTTCCAACGGCAAGATGGCTGATTTTCTAGAACCCCAGGGCATCAAGGTGGGCACTGCTACGCATGTGGATAGTATCCCCAAGAAGGAATTGTTAACCTGGACCAACACCCATTTTCCGGGAGCGGTTAGTGCTCTCCGGCAGGATAGCGCACCTGCGCGCAAAACGAAGGTTGTTCAAGCATGGCTCCAAAGCACTAGTTAAGGACTTCATTACTCCTGCGGGATGGCCTCCGTATTGGCCGGATCTGAAATTTCGACTATAGTGTGTGGTCAGTTCTTCAGGCCGAAACCTCACCCACGCAAGACTGTGGAGTCTCTGCAACGTCTCTTAGGAATGCGTAAGAGGACGTCGACGTGTAGCACCTTCGTGCCACCGTGGACAGCGTTCCCAAGCGTTTCCGAGCTTGTGTTCGAGTCAGAGGAGGAATCTTCGAGTTGTAAAGTCACTTTTATGTAGCAGATAGTTGAGTAAAGATTTGGTAGTCATTTCATTTCAATTCATTTCATGTAATCCATGCCTATCTTCATCATTACGATAAAAATACCGTGTAGACTTTTCCCCAACCCTGTGCAATTTTTTTTCAGTTCTTGTTTTTCTGTTTCTTTAGATGTATGTTTTTGCATAGAAATAGAGTGTGACTGTGGGACGGTAACTGTCAGGGTTCTGTTTAGCAATGGGAAGAAGTGCATTCTCAAATTTGTGTTGTGCCTCAAGTTTGCTGAACCAACCTACAATGTCAGAAAAAGAGAAAAATTCTGTCAGAAAAATTCTTCCCTTTTCAAATTGAGTAGGCTCAGACTAGTTTGTATAATCACTTTCCAACAGCCCGATTTATCAGAATGTTCAATAGTGAGTACTCGTAAGATTCCGCGTGTGATGTGCAATCTCATACACTAGCTTACAATTGACTTTACCAAATTCCATAGTCATTCTATCTTTATCGGATTGACTCATTTACTGATTCAATACCGCAGCGATGCCTCTTCGTTAGCTGTCTTGAAGAATGCCATGACATTTTCCAAGCTGTAATTATTTAGAAGCAGCTCTCGCAAGCCTTCAACTTTGCCACGAGCATTTTGTCCATTGAGTCGTGCTCGATTCATTAGCAGTGCTTCGTAGATTCCGCAAACGTTGCTTTCCTGAAGTGAATTTTTTTCGAACGTTGATCCTGGGAAAGAAACGGAAAAGTCTTGCTGGGTGATTATTTGAGGACGCAGAAAACATTCAGTGGAATGACGTTTCTTTTGCCAGAAAACGATAGATGCCTTAGGCCCCGGACAGACTTCACGCGATTTGATCGTCGCGACTGAATCGCGACGAGACAACTGTTACAACATCATTCCATGCCGATCAACTTGCATTTCGGTTGTGATACTTTTCCAGCCCGAAATTTTTGAATGTCAAATGAAAATGAATGGAAATGTCGGCGATTGAGTCGCGACGATCAAATCGCGTGAAGTCTGTCCGGGGCCTTACACTTCTCTATCTTTAGGACTTGACATCGTATATACTGTCTATGTAACGTGAGAAACTCCGCCCGAATGCAACCTATCTTCTATCTTGAGAGAAAGCTCAGCTTTGCATTTCTCATACGCCCCGATCATGGGAAATTACAATAATTAATCATTTAAAATTGTTTTTCTATTCTCCATCAATAAATTTAAGTACACATTGTTTTCTGGTTGAAGAAATGATGTGTTTTCTGCATAAGTTTTTTGACAAAGGCTACACTTGATCGAGAGAGAAATAGAAATGAAAGAAAAAATGAAAAGTTCCTAACGAGTTCCCATTCAAGACAACTTGACAATTGTTCCCGTACCTCCATAGAATCTTTTTCAGCATCTTGAAATATTTGATCGTGATTCTCAAGTATTTTCTTATTTTGCTCTGATAAAAAGGAAATGTCGCCGCTGTTTGCTTCCAGTTCCTAAATTATCAAACATCTATTTATCTACAAAATGAACAAGTGATTAAAAAAACTAACTTTCAATGCTGCTGCCATAAGTTTTCTTTTCTCAAGATTCAATAGATGTGTCATTCGGGGATGTAGTTGCTTGAGACAGTAGTCTATACTGGCATCATTAAGGTCTGAAAATTACGAACGTAAGCTGACTGACACTGACGCAAACAGTGCGCAAAGGCGTCTTTGGAGCGCGTTCAAAGAGAGAGGAAGGGACAGAAGAAGCGCAGAGGTCCTGAGACGAGCTATCGCGTAGTACGTGCATTGTCTGTCTTAAAATTGCTTACCACATGAGATCTGAACTTTTATTTGCCTATTGGTTGTCTCTTCGCTGACTATCTCTCGAACTACAGCTATTGTTGACACTGAGTCGGACCGAAATGACATCATTCCCTTCCTATAAAAAAGCATGTTAAAAATCTATTTTTACATCTGCTAATTTGAAGCTATCAAACTGTTATAAAATTCTTGCAATTATTGTCAAGATCTGTAATTTCCGTTCATTTTTATAGATTTGATGGACATCAGTTGTTCTTGGAAGAAAAATCGTACATTAGTGATATCTACATAATCTTTGAAAAATGGTGCGCAACAACTTTTTTTGCCAACTCAGTGCTACAAACTGATTTTTGCAGATCTCATTCAAAACCTGTGACTTCTGTTTACCTTGGTGAATTTACTTGGTATTAATTTTGTTGAAAAGGAAAAATCGTTTATTTTGTGGAAAAATTTGTACAATTTTGAAAGATTATGATGAAGATGATGACGATGATGATGGTGACGAGACGCACGAACTTTCTTGCCAACTCAATATAAAATGAAAAATCAAAAAACTTACGAATATGTTGTCTGAAGCTGAGTAGCAGCCGGTGATGTCGACTGATAATTCACAATTACTGTATCAGTGGCAGGAGGTTTTGTAGGAACCCCGGGTACAATCATAGATAGCCACGAATGCGCTTCATCCAGGGAAAAGCTCCCTGTAGGAAATTGGTGGTCTTGAATTTAGTTCGACATTTCAGTCTTGTAGAATTACCCGAAAAGGACAAAGTGTTGAGAGGCCTCGTCATGTCGAAAGAATGGACTCTCGTGTGAGAACTTAAGGGTTTGACCTCGTATGATCGAATCTAAGTCAAATAATAATATTTTTCAAAATTTGGATCTTGTTAGTAAATCTATGCAAAACTACCTGGACTGTTTTTGGATGAATTTTTGGGCATACGTAAACCACAATGGATCCATGTGTGCCTTCGTCTACCTTGACACGCAACTCGATACGGCTTACATTCGCTTGACATCGATAAGAAGCCAATAGGGGCCAGGGATTCTGCAAAAAATTTAATCCAAATTTTCAGTTTTCAGATTTAATGCAATACTTACATATTCGCTCTGGCTTTGTTGACAAACAACTGAAGCATTTCGCTCGACTTCTACCAATTTTGCAGGCATTTTGCTCTGTAATTTTTTTTCAAAGGAACACATAAATACGGCAATTGTTTTCTGTTCGGATATCTGCCCCACTAGGAAAACTGTGCTTCAAAATTGTAATTTGTCACATGCGCACAATTCTTCTTTACCAAACGGGAAGGTTAGAACAAAATTTAAAACATTTGTTTTGTGACTCCATTATAATGTTCAGAAGTATGGTTGTTGTTTTTACACTGCCCTTGCTATTATTCCGCTCTTGGAGCAGGAAATCGCTATTATGCTATTATAAAACCTTGTCAAAGTTCAAATAATTTGCTGAGAAATTATATCGCCACGCAGATACCGTACTCAAAACTCAAAAATCTTACCTGCACAATAATGAAATCTATTGGTAGGACCAGTTCGATCGTAAGTGAATATGCATTATGCTGTGGCGAAAACTCGAAAGAATCGTGAATCTGAACAAGATCCAATACAGAATCTTCAATACAGAAATGTTAAATTTGCCTGTAGTAAACCTGAAAAGTTGGTATGTAGGCAGCCTGGTTGCCACCTTTCTTGGTCAGCTCTCCGTAACGAGTTCGTTCCTCATTGAGTTTGGTCTCTAACTCTTCGATTTCACTTCTGCAATACTATTTCGTGTAGAAACGCAGCAATTATAAAGCAGAATTGGTCTACCTTAACTGTTGAACTTTAACATTGACACTAGCAGCCTTGGGTGTCACTGCAGAAGCTGCACCTTTTGACTGTGCCAACGCAAAGAGCCAACCTTAAAAATAAAATGCGGTGAAGATTATTAGAATCTCCTGGAATTTTGAAAGATAGAGGACCATGCCACTCGTCAAAAAGCAGCACGAAATTGAGAACTTTGACTTTGCAGGCTACTACCGTACTGAGCAAATCGATGCGTCCTTAAATGCGGTAGTGGGCAGATATTCTGGCTTGACTTTTTCGGCTAGTGAGTTTCGTGGATTGCGGCTTGAGCAAAATGACTTGGGGCCATTCATTCAGTAAGCACGTGAGAGGTTCGGCTACCCAAGTTATCCGCGCTTTGGCTTTTTATGGGACTCAAATTGAAGGAATGTTGATAATATAGAAAGAATCATCAAACGCTGAGGTTCCTTTCTGAGAATTAAACATGTATTTTGTTCGTGAATATATGTCATCGTTCTTTAATTTTAATTCGATAGCATCTAAGTGATAAAATGATTTCGACTACCTGTATAAGTGCAAATCACGATTTCCTCCTCATCTTCGCGGGTTATACGACCGCATCCAATAGACGTGATTGATTCATCGCAGTTCTATAATACAATTATGGAAAATACCTCCAAGAACATAGAATTGCTTTTCTCAAATAATCTTACGACATACGTAGGATCCGGCAAACGTGCAATTATCCTCGCTGTCCACCGTATAAATTTCAACAGCACCATCATCCTTCCCGATTAGAATGTCAGGATGATCAGAATGTGTGAAGTGGTAACATTTGATGGCAGTAATTGCTAGAAGAAAGCAATTTTCATGCAAATTTCATTTTGACAAAGTTGCAAACCCACCTCCAGTGCTTTTTGTATTGATTTCCCACCTGATATCACCTTGTTTCGGTTTCAGATCAATAAGGCCAAGCCTACCGTCTCGAGTTCCGTATAGGACCAGTTGTTTGGTATGACCTAAGTGCAGTAATTATTATTCACGACAAATTCCGTTCTCTCCAGAGTGCAAACCAAATACATATGTTATGCTACCGTAATCTCACACAAGCCTTAAGAAATTTGAATCTAGATCATATTAGGCTGGAGGCGATGATTAACAATTAGAAATGAATATTAAATAACAAAAAAATTGGAGTGAAAATAAACATCTAAATAATATGTTTATAAAGTATACAAATTGAAACAAGCAAAGTATAATACATAATATGACATATAAATAAAAATAAATAGAAAAATAATGAATAAATGTGTGCAATATTTGGTGTGGACTAACCAGCCAGAAAGGAAAGAAAGAATATTAATGAAAAAGAAAGCAAAACAATATGAGCATGCTACAGCAATTTCTTGATAAATCAAATCTAATTAACTCATGTTTTTTGCACTATTCGGCCTCATGAGTGTTTTTGCCAGTAATTCCAGCCATGCTGGCAGACTATAGTGGTACCAAAAGGCCTACTCCTTCTCTTACCTCCATCACCCATGAAAAGATAAAGTGTAACGGGCACTGAGCTCAGTTGCACTTCATATGCGACTGTAGATCCTTCAATTACCTACAACAGCAAGTTTACCCCTTACCATGCTTGTTGGGTACTGTCTTACCCTAATTGTAGCATCATCACATGCAACTACCGTAGTAAACGGCCGTCCACTCCATGCTCCACCAGACGATAAAAGGCATACGACATCGTTGATATCACCAGGGCAAAGCACGTACTATAAAAAATACTGCTCATAAATAATTGGAACAAGCCAAAAAACCCTCTGTACAAGTTCTTCGACGAAACTGTACAGCAGGATTTTTTCAAAAAAAAAATGGTGCTCACGTTAGCATCAGCACAATCGTGATAGTGATTGACGCTCTTCTGGCCAGTCAGGAGAAGATCAACTCCATAGATGAACCTAGAAAAGGTGGAAAGCTGCCAAACCCACAAATGGGCGGATTAGAAGATTTAAAATTGGATCTCTTCATTATAAAAGGCGCTCAAGATTGCTCTATTCTGTAGATAAATTTTAAGAAATTTTTCAAAATTATCTTACATTCTTTTCGCCGTTTCTGCCATACTGGTATCGAAGGAAAAAAATTGTTTTCCTTTTTTGCCAATACCGCGTACGTTGCTCCCAGATGCCACGAATACCTGGAAGATTGCCAAATAAATCCGATTATCTAGAGTTTGATTTGCTGAAATTACCTTGTCTTGTAGCGTACCTATTGCTCCTCCTAAACATATTGCTTCAATCGGTGGGCCTGGCAAGGTTTTGTAAATTATCTGAACAATTTTTCACCTTTTTCTCTTGAGCTTTGATGCGGATATCGACAAATTACCTGAGTATCGTTATCCTTCCGACAAATGCAGATAACACAACCATTTTGACTTCCGACAACGATCTGGACGAGAAATAGTGCAGAAAAAATGTTTTTCAGCGAGTGATAATCTAACCCTTTCCAAATTTCGTTTCTTTTTTGATTTCTCAGCTTTCTGCGATGGAATGACGCGCATGCATGAGCGATTTGTTGTACCAACTTGTGCAAAATCGGTGCGAGCAAGGTTTATTTCCATCATCAGGCTGAAAATAAAATGAAAGCAATATTGGAATCTAGAATAATTACAAGAACCATAGCTTTTGGTACTGCTTCTTTACAAGGGAAAATTAAAGTGAAAAATAGCCCGAAATAGCCAAAGGCACACAATCGGGTTTGTGAACTTGGCATGTGAGTTGCCATGGTTACAATGTGCGAATTTCGCGCTCCAACATGAGGACGCAGACCAATACATCTATAAAATATAAAAATTCAAAAAAGGAAAAATAGGAGGGAATATAAACAATGGAAAAGTCCCACCCACATTTCTCGCTTTGAAGAGGTCTTTGGCACAAAAGAACGTATTAGAGAAGCGATTCGGTAGTCAGCTAGTATGTTGCTAAGAATTCACTGATACTAGGGTGTATGTCAAGAGATGCGATTTCTATTGCCAGATGGACACCAAATAGCACATAATAAGAGTTTTATGGCGTTCTAAACATAGATAATTGCATGAATTGCTTAATCTTGCTGTGTTGGAATCAATCCAAAACAGCAATTTTAGAGGTTAGAAGTGCTTGAAAATGCAGGTGAACAAATTCATAGATATTGCTGTCCATTTTTTTTGCAAAAGCTACCAGACTCACTAAGTGGTCAGATAGTAAGTTAACGCACCTTACCTGGTTTTTGAAGTTTTGAGTTGACGAAAGCAGGATAAATTGCGCCTCTTGACCGTCCTCCGTGATACTGCGGCCGGACCACATTTTTTGAAGCTAAATGCTGTGAAAGCAGACTTACTTGATCTCTACGTATCACTTTTAATTTACTGCAACCGTAAACTCTATGAGTTAAGGTGCTGATTTTCATTACGAAGATGTCAGAGTTCTCTGTTTCTTTATGAAGGAATAGTGACCTCAAGTCAAGAATTCAGCATGGACGTTGAAGCGGAACGAACTTAACTCAGCATGACATTTTATCCACGAAGATGACAGCTGAGGAAGCCTATTCTCGCTTTTTTTGGCGAAAGAACCAAAGCAGATCAAGTTTTTTTGAAGTATTCTTCCTTTGAACATATTCTATTATACAAAGCCACTTGCAATCGCTTAATGTTGTTTGGTATTGCTTCATCTCAATTGTTTTTGCGTTTTGTTTTGCTTGTTTTTTCGTAGGGAGATCTATACGCATGATAAATAAATGGATATTGTACGACAATTGCTTTTCGTTGACCCAGTATAGGATTTTATAAAGGATTTGCAACTACTTAATCCAACTTGATTGTGATTGCACCGCTTTGATTTACGGTCGCATTCTTGGGTTCGAAAATCACGGAATATTTTTTCTGCTTTGTTTTATGGCCTTCGTGCTACTTTCATTATCTTTATACTGTTTTCAAAATCATAATGTCATTTACAAGCCAGTACTGATTTATATTTTAGTAATCTACAGTGTTTTAATCAGTAATTGTTTTCTTCCATGTCATTTTTATCTGCCTGAGTTCTGAGACTAGCTGGTACCGTATTTTGAGTTCATTTTTTCGGCACACTTCAAGTATATTTATAAACAAATAAATAAATAAATAAATAAATAAATAAATAAATAAATAAATAAATAAATAAATAATGGCCCCTGCCCCTTACCCTACCCCCTCTAAAGTTGGTCTTCAATTATCATCCCAGCAATATGCTTGTTGTCCGAGAAGAACTGGATCATCGAACGTCTCCATGTTTCACGACTTTCCATCGCTAAATCAGCAGCATCTTGCGTAACGCGCAAAAAATTAATAGCCTCGCCGTACTGGATCATGAACTTGGTCAAGGGTGGCGCAATGTTGCAAGATGTAGATATGTGTGCTGATAGCCTTGAATATACAGTTTCCAACAAGTTTTGGATCTTGTATTCTATTTTTTAACAGTCATCACTTAAAGGTTCTAACTTTTTTATATAGCATGAGAAGTTTTAGGTTATTGATAGCGCGTTTAAATATTTTCAAATCTACAACTGAGAATCTTTAGGACCAGCTAGAAAAGAATTTCACGTACTGGCCTTTTAAGAAGTGATGTATGCCACTCAGTAGGTTTTTGAACGCTTCCCAAAGTCCCTCCTGAATAGTCGAATTAATGAAAAAGAAAAGACCTTCTTTCGAATATTTGTTCATTGAACGGATCAAACAACTTAATCGAAATTTTCATCGAATATTCGAATATTCGAATAAAATTTCGAATAAGTTGTTTTTTCGATTCATTCAATGAACAAATAATCGAAAGAAGGTGTTTTTCATTTATTCGACTAATTAAATAATCAAATGAATGCACTTTCTGAATATTCGTAAAGTAAGTAAGCTGGGAAGTACACTTGATGCATAATTCTTGCCCCAAAGTTTTCGGGATTGCATTGCTTTTTCCAGCTTCTGGAATCTTCTAATTCAACACTAAACGGAAAAGGCAAATTTTGCGCTTTTCGCGAGTATTTCAATCGAAATTTTTTGTTGGCAGATGGCAACGATAGAAGCTGTTAAAGAAAAATATTCAAAATCATAATTTTTGAATCTTCGATTTTCAGTCGCTAGATTCGCTAAAAGGTCTACTAAGATAGAAACTGTTTTTGGTCATTGTTTCAAGACCTACTCTTTCTGACCGAAGACAGTTGGAAGTGATCGATGGACACCACAAATAGTTATGAATTTCGATTTTTTGAGTTCAGCTTGTTGTATTTGTTTCAGATTTAACTTCTCAAATGTATAAATACTACCATGGTATACATAACAATGAGCATATTCGTAAATTGATTAGGGTCTGAGCATTTTTGAAAGAATTTCTTTCTATTTTTCGATCAATAATTGTGCATCAGCCTAATGAAAGAAGTATGAAAAACTTTGCATTAGGATCGTATAAATCCTCATGCTTGCGGGTATTGGAAGATCTGATCTCAGATTTATACATGATTTATACAGATTGTGGCCTAAACGAGTTCCCGCAAAGAATGCTACAGTAAGCAAAGCACCGAACTTGACCTTGAGACAGGCCTCGACGAGCTGGCACCAGGGGAATTTTAAAACAAAGTCCCGCTTGATCTTGAAAATTCCGTACGAAGTCCCCTTTGACCTGTTTTGAAGACCCGTCACTACTTTTAGATTAATTTAAAAGTTTGTAGTAGGGTTTTAATGCATGCTGATTTCATGAAACAACTTTTCACAGCTTTCTGAGCTTTATAAGTGGTTGAATCACATCTTGAGAAGCAGAAAAAGCCGATTTCCACTGCGGAGCACATCCAGTAATCTCCAGATGGCTATAAAACGTTGAAAAGAAAACATTATGAAATTGTTTCTTCTTTATATATAAACTTTTACAGTGTAGATACATTTTATGTAAAAAAGTATGAAAACTTATGTGAGCAAAGTGTTGGTGCCAGCTCAGCTGGCACCCAGCTGGCACGGTGCCAGCTAATTCAGAAAAAAGTTGGGCACAGCTTTCATTCATATAAGTTTTCATGAATTTTTGGGCCATAATTCGGGTCCCCCAACGCGCATGCACATACCAAATTTGGTGTCATACTATTGTGTTTTGGCTGAAAACAACGCCTTTGTTTGTTTGATGGGCAGCATGCCGGTGGCATGCCAGCGGCATTCTTGAGGCTCTTCTCCGCCCCGGACCTCGGAAAACGATACTCCCTCTGCTTTTCGCCCTAAAAACGATATCCAGCTTGATCCCGTGCCAGCTGTGCCGATCCCCGCCTTGAGATGATTATAGAATTGCCTGGTTACATACCCGTCAACTAAAGTTGTTTTCTTAATGTTTACTAGTCAATTAAAATGAGTAGTGAAATCGAGTGAAATATTTTCATTAGAACAGTTTCATTGCATTTTTTCACCCCTTTCTCTTTGAGAATGCGGTCACTCAACGCATCTTTTTGTAAATTATTTCGCCTTCCTAGACCTGTCTATCAAAGAGAATATAGAGACATAAATCTGATCGCTAATGCTTTCATGGTCAGCTCTTCGAAAATCTCTATGACATTTTCGCGTTCTGTCGCTGACGGAGATTACCATCTAGCCTCCCTATATGCGAAGCTTTTAGAAACCAGCTATTTGTTGCGAAACAATCGCTTTATGGCTTCATTTCAGATATTCTTCTAGTATCCAGTGACAAATCTCGCTAATGCCAATAAAAAAACTTATATTTCGATCGGAGTTTATTAGCCTTGAGATGGAGCGCCTTGAACGAGATAAACAGATACTGGAACCGACTCCACCCATATTTATAGCCTTGAAAATTGCTTTCGGCTTGAGTCTGGCTAGCAGCAGTCAGTTAGCCGATCCAAAATGATTGTTTATCTGTATATCAACTGAACCTGGCAATACATATATCACTGCCAGTAATCGATATCGTCCATTAATCTCGCCGTCTATCCATTACGAACTATTCTTCACTCTCTCGCTTGATTCATGATCGTATCCGCATATCTCTTTCACCCATGATACTGGTTCTCTACTCACTGTAGTGTATGTTCTCGCAAAAATTGAATTTTGATGAAAATTTCAACCACCAATGACGTAATCGTATTTGAAAATTTTGACCTTCGACAAAATCTCTACATACCCACTGTAGACAATTAGGGGCAGGGGAGGGGCAAAATCTACATCAAGATCCAATTATAAGCAAAACCCGAAGAAATCAATGCATCTTTGCTTATAAGTTTAATTCGTAATTACTTGTTGCTCACCTTTTCTTTCAAGTTTTGATTTTCAACGACTCTTTTTCTTAACTACTCTTAAACATAAAAGCTTATTCATGAGTTTTAGCCTTTTTTTGTAAATTTCTGACCATTTTAGCGAGAGAGTAAAATTAGAAATGTTCTGCATTCTTGTTGCTTTAAAAGTATGAAAAGGTAAACTCATCTTAGGAAAGCATAATGATTGCGGGGCTTATGCTACAGAATACTTTCTAAGACGAGATTTCTTGAGAAGTAACTGAGAAATATTCATCTATTTTACTTTCAAATTTTGACGAAATTATTCTTTATTGATTATTACAATACTGACTGCAAATGGAATAATCACATGTAATTTCTTAACCAATTCCATTCGCCTGGTGTTTGGTAGAAAACATCATAAGAAGTATGCATATTTCTATAAAGGGATATGATTCAATTACATCTCGAGACTTGCCAAGATAGCCACGTCCGTGTAAATTTGAGACGTCTTTACTCCTGTAAGGGAGATGACTATTCAAAACTCATTTTTGAAAAATTTATAATATGAACGAAAATATAAAAACCCAACACTACTTTCTTCCAGGCTCTGAATCTTCACCGAGAAAGTTGTAGTATTTCATCTGAAAAGTAGACAGGATATGATGTGACTTTCAATGACATAATCATTTTCCAGTGCCTTTTTTAATTATTTGATGATACAAAACTGTGTTTTATATTTTTATATTCAGTAACTGAAAAGTGCTTCTGCAACATCGTAAAGAAGACAGTTAGAAAACTATAACTTCTTTCTACTCTTTTTCTTTTCTTCTATGATATAAAGCATCACCGGTTGAGGGCAAAGATCTAGAACACCTATATATCATTTTGAGAAGAAATTGCAAAATCAACACTATGAGCGTGAGGAATCGCTCATGCAAAATTATCTCAAAATCCTCTCAGCTCTATATTTTTTTTTCCAGAATATTCTGCTCTCAACTTGAGTCGAGATTTGTACAGCTCTTGCAGTTTTCTCAAACTTCAGCTACAAGCAATTTTCTCAAATGAGATACAAAGTGACAGTTTTGATGACAGACATGTGGACCGGTTTTGAAGCGCTTAGGCTAAGATTGCTTGCAGTTTCTTCGACTCCATATGCTACAATTATTAGCCCTTTTAAATTTACTCCCTCTCAAATTATTGGAAAATCTAGCCTCTCCGATATCATCCAAATCCTCAGCATGAACAAACTTTTTATTTGAAACAACATCCATAGTTCCAAGCTCATTTCGATGTGGTTCTTTTCCAAGTTTCTTGATTGATTAGCCGAATGAACGAAGCTTATCTCTTTTTTATGAGTGTTTGTTTCATTTAAGAATCCATTTCCAGTTTCCATTCATCATCTGCTCTAAAATATAAATCTCTTGAAATCTTAAAAAAAAATTTTAGTGAATGTTTTTTGACAACTACAATTATCTGCATCAATTTTTTGACAACCACAATTATCTGCACGCATAGTTAAGTCAAGGACAAAAAAGTAACTGAGGCTTGTAGCAGAAATCAAAAGCTTTGCATTGGAGGAGTTGGTCTTTAAAAATAATCTATGATAAATTGAGAATGGTAACAGGATCATAAAATAAAGCAGAGTATGCAATAGAGATCCTGTTACCATTCTCAATTTATCATAGATTATTTTTAAAGACCAACTCCTCCAATGCAAAGCTTGATTATAACTGGGGAATATAGTGCTTATTGGTATTATTTTGATTTTTGCTACAAGCCTCAGTTACTTTTTTGTCCTTGACTTAACTATGCGTGCAGATAATTGTGGTCTTTCAGCTTACAAACTTTTTAAAAAAAAGCCTTTCTGTATTTGAAAGCGGCAACAATGGTTGTTTGCTAGTTATTGTTTCAGAGAATCCATTGAAATCATCTGATGTTGCTTCTGAATTCGTTGTTTTTCAGCTGTTTTGAATGGTCTTGCATAGAAATATCACTTTAAGACGTTTCCGTTTCTCCAAAAATTTCGTAACTCAAATAATCCTTTAAGTAAACAGCCTCTTTTACAGGAAATCCCGCAATCGAGAATGTCATGATCGTCATCTCGGTTGTGCTAGGGCTGCTGCAGCTTGCACTACCCGCAGCTGCTATACCTCGACGGGGCAACGAACCGTGGTCCATAATTTTGTGCAAGTTGCGGGATAGTGACTATGAGCCGAGATCTGCCGAATGGTTTCAGGAATGGATCTCTGGCGGAAATAATCCGGGTACATATTTGCAGATGTCAGACTGCATCCAGAAATGCTCGTGTGCCAACGCGGTGCCAGCGCCGTGCCAGTGCCGTTCCAGTGCCCAGGCGGGAGCGGCGGAAATCTATCCATTAAGGCGCTGGCATTGACGACTATGGAAACAGCCTTGAGCTCAAAAAAATTACCGAACCTGCTCCTGTTCAGATACCATCGAAAGCTATTTCTCGTCAGTTTCCAATGCTGTCTATACTATAAAAGGTTCAAATGTTACAAAATGGTTACAACTTCCTTGGACACGCCTGCAAGTGCTTCGAATGGCTTACATGGATCCACGCTTACAAACGGAACGGGAACGTCCTTTTGCGGTAAGTTGGGCAAAAGGCTCCACTGTCTATCAACCATACATAAACCTTTGCGTTTTCAGATGTTCGACAAAGCTAAACAGCTTTGCATTTCTTTTGCTGAGCAGAATGGGTACTTTCTGAACAAGCAGAAAATTACCATACTAAATATGGAGAATACTGCCGTATACGGGAAGGATACAGGTTATATTGCTTGACGTAATATGCACTCAGGTGTAGGCCGATTGCACGACCGTACCAGGGTTTCCATACAGGACCACCATCGAGAAACGTCTGCGGCGACTTTTCACTGGGAAGTCGCGGGCGAGGGGTGGGAACGCGCAAAAATCTTGAGAAACATCCCAAAAAAATTTTTGGACTGCGTGGCTGAAGCCACGCACCTTCGTTGGAAAAATTTTTTTTGCCTCCCCCCCTCCCCCGAACGGAAATCCTGGGACCGCCATTTGTAGCTGCTGGTCACTGTCGTGCAAAACGGCCGTCCGTTTTCTCTCATTTTATCTGACAGCGGTGTGATTTAGGTGTTCTGCTGACACCAAAGCTCATATTTTCATCTGTGCTGACGCATGAGATGATTCATAGCATGAATATCGGCCATTCTTATAGCGATCGCAATATACGGGTGTTTATTTTCAATTTTGCATACCCTTTTGCCTATTTATCGTTCTTCCGAGGGCTAAAGACACTTTTAGGTTTTTCCGTACTCCTCACCTGGGGAATACGACGATAAATATGATCTCATGTCTACTGCTAATGCTCATATGCGGCCCTCTACTTACGGTCTGGGTGGGCCTGGCTTGAATGGGCCACATCTAGATTACCTTGGCTGGTTACCGCAAAATCGAATAGTTTATTTTGGGCGGTAAGTTTGTTAGAAAAATCAACATATTTCCAAATGTCAGCCATCTTTTGGTGTTAAGCTAATATGTGAGAATTATATATTCCATGCTTTATTGTTCTTCGAAAAAAAATCGAAAGAGGTTAGAGACTTTTCTGTAAGAAAACGTAATTGACGATTACTTACCAGATAATTTGTTTATTAGATAATTTGCTCCACACGAATTTTACAAATAGAAATATGCGTAATTCTGTAAATACATACCACTTTCAGAATTTTTAGAGAATGTTTGGGGGAGCTACTTGTGCCTCTTCTTCACGTTTCCTCTAGCCTTGGTCCAAAACATGCATTTTTCAGCGATGGCCGCAGTAATTACACATTACGGTTGTCCTCACTGTCCGTACCTCATCGCCTTACCATTGGGTGGTTGCTGGTGATGATTCCGTACGATAGAGATGATCCCGGCAACGTTTACACCGTTGAGTACCGAACGCCAGTGGGTAACGATGCCGGAATCAAGCAGGTACAAATCTTGCCCGACGGCGCCATGGCTATTATTTTTACCATTTAGGGAGCCGTAGTCATTCATAGAGTAAAACGGATAGGAACGTCTTATTATTCAACGCTCATGACTCATGAGAAAGGCGAGTATAACGAGTTGACATCTGGAACAGAATGGTTACAGTTTTTGGATATCACTAAGGATGGAGGTTTCCAGTATATCCGGGTTAAAGTGAGTTGGGATCTCTACAGTAATATAGGACTTATTCTTTGAAAAATTCCAGGTAGAGCGAGTTCATCCAAAATCGCATAGTGCTGATCTCAAAGTTTCGACTACATTCCGGCCGGTGATTATACTAATATTTTGATTTTTGAGTACTGCTTTTGCTGTTGTTGCTATATAATCTTCTTTGCTGGAAAATTACCCAAAAGTTTTGATATAAAAGTTGAAAGTGTCGAATTTTGCGAAATCATAGAACTCTGCATCATAAACGACTCAAATGACATCCAGCCGCTAGTTCAAAGCTCGTGAAGAAAAGAACAATCTGAACAAAATTTTTCGAAGCCTTAGAATCTCTTCTGATCTTAAAATTTCAGGAAAAATGTCGGGGTGCTGATTTTAAATTACCGGTAAAGCCGTCTCCTTTTCTAATTACACATGGCGTCAGAAGCGTTTGTCTCGAACGGAATCGTACAGTAACCCAGCAAGACATTGACCATCAGTTTCTGCGTGATTCTTTTTTCGAGATGAGGTTGCTTTCGTGATTTTTTGCGCAGAATGAAAGCCAGAACATTTAAGGAAGACTTTTGGACAGAATGAGTGCACCAATGGGCGCATATGGCGAGGCATAGATGCTTACGATTACGTTTGTGTGGAGCCACATCGGTAAAGCTTGCCATAATTTTTTGAGTCGTGGTAATCGTCTTATTAAAGGGCCGATGATGTGACGGATACGGTCGTAACTATGGACGAGGATGATAGTGGTTGTGAAGTAGATTATGTCCATAGGAACGCATTCCAGGTAATTTTAAAATTCTTAAAGCCAGACTGCTTGTCCGTTAATCTTCTCTAAAAGTCCGATAATCGCACTGAGCCCTGAGCATTTCGGAATTGGATTGCAGGTCATGTTTCAAACCACTGGCACAACCAGATTTTTCACAACTTTCCAGAAAATTGTTAGCGCTGAATAATCATTTGTTCTAAAAAACAAATGTTATTCGGATTAAACTAATGTTAGCATAAAAACTAGCTTGCAGAATTTCTCATTAGAAACCATCTCTGCAAGAGTTCTGAGAAATACAAACAATAATGAAGATTTTTCGAAAAATATGCGATAGAATAATGAAATCAATGAAATGATGTAATCACCTTGGCTTACTTGTTCATTTGGAAGTTAAGGAAAAGGTATAAATTTACGAATATTTTTTATAAGTCGCATCCAAGAATTACCAAATGTTTTCCTATTTCAACTATGCCATAATTTTTTGATATCTATACCATTTCCAGCGTTCTTTCTTTTTGGTATAACCTATGATTCAACTGGCTTGGCTTTGGGAAGGCCTAATTAAGGCCGCTCGCGCCCGCGACGCACCTGCGTCTCTCTCGCGCAAGTGCTCTCTGATCATTACCTAGCTTAATTACATAGGTCACGAAGCCCCGCCTTCCCGAAGCCAAGCCATTTGAATCAAAGACCATAGATGCGCCAAATCATTCTATAAATAAATAATCAAATGACTACATAACAAAAAAAAGGAATGGAGTTAGCCTGCTCTTTTTTTAGAATTTGCACAAATGTTTTCAGGTCTCGCTTCTCATACATGTCATTTGCTAATCCGCCACTTTCCATTAGCGTTAATGCGCTGTCATAAATCATATGCGGCTGGGCTTTGAAACTAAGGGCTTTGTAAGAAATCATGGTGTAAAAAGTAATAAGATGCTTTTCAGGGAGACAAAGCCTGCGTTACTGAAGACGAACGCGCTTTGATACACAAGGAAAATGCCGAGTCACATCTACATTTGCGAAGTTACGCATTTTTCAATGGAGCTGACACCGTTGGACCTTAGAAGTTTGGACATTGTACCAAATTTAGACTCTATTGATTCTGATATTGAGTAGCTAGACATATGCTCCAAGATTCGGTAACCTTTATGTAAGCGCTAGCCGAGTCTAATCCAGTCACTTTGTACAGTTTCCCTCAGATTCGATGATCAGATGATTTTTTCATCATTCATATTCGTAACACACTTCCTTTCAAAGGAAATAACAAATTAGAAAATCATGGGAAGCACGGACCCCCCTCCACCCTCTCCCCCTCCCCTCTCCTAAACGTTGCTGAATGTTTGAGCGACCAAATGGAAAGATGATCAAACCATGCTGTCTACGTTTCCGGACATACTTCAGGCGATTTCGTTCGCCGCGGAATCTGGTAATTTTCAGTTGTTTTTAGCTCATAATAAGTTGAAAAAGTTCTACACGCTATGCGTTTGTGGTGTATTAAAGCTGATTTCGAAGGCATTTGGTACGTTGCCAAATCGCGTGTCGACTGAAAATCGCGGAGTATGGCCTGATTGATGCTAGCACCAGAAATCTTGTGTTATCTCATTGCACAATTGGCACTTGTTAAAAGTTCCAAAAAAAAAGATTGCACAACAGGGTAAGAAATTTTGAAACATTTTGGGTGCCTCATTTAAATTAGCGAATTACTAAATTAGGTTGCAGATGTAGATAGGCTTCTTCTGAAGAATTCTTATTAGTGTCATTTTCTCAATGAATTCATTACCCCCAAAAATTTTTAGGATCAAAATTTTGTGATATATATTCGCGCTTATCACACAAACTATAAATAGATCGCATACATATTGGCTACATGACATTAATCTCAACATATAAATACCGTCTGCACCCCAGAAAGGTTCCCATGTGAACCAGCGTGCGTACGTGGTGCGACGCTGCCTTTCGCTCTTTTTGACACGTTTCTCCTGAGATTTCAACGGAAGTGCCCGAGGTTAACACGTTCAAAAGTGCGAAAGGCAGCGAGATGACGTGGTACCTATGGGAACCTCTCTGGGGCGCAGACGATAGATCACTCGAGAAAACTTTGCCACGCCTAATTAACGTGTCAAAACTTGTGCTCTACCTCATCTCAGACGATTTTCTTTTTCGATTCAGAGAATGAACATGTTTACACTCATTCTACGTGTGCAAAAGCGTTCTCGAGTTTTCCATGATAATAGTTAGAGTAAATTATTTGTCTTGGTTCTTTGTATTCATGTTCTCGTCCAGATTCTGCAGATTTATCGCTAGTTGTTTATCGTATCCTGAATGGCCTGAATCTTCTGAATCTTGAGTAGCACTTCTCATCCTCCTTCAGCTTTATTTATTTACGTATTTGTTACGGTTTCTGATGTCGTCATTTCTGCAGGAAAAATAAATGCAATTTTGTGACAACCTCTTCCAATAATGTCGAATATCGTTCTTTTACACAAATCGTCGTCATTCAATGATGAATCATGTCCAACCTATTATTTTGCAAGATGTTTTCATACACATAAGCGCTCAACTTCATGCCCACATGGCGCAGTGCATGAGGTCGCCGTCACAATCCGTGCGCCACGGGGTTCGATCCTATGAATGAGCAGAGATGAATGCAAATTTGCTCCTGACACCTCTTATGTTAGCAATCAATTTCCGGATTGCAATGATTCCACAAATGTTAACTGAGCTCATTTTATCTTCAGTCTCCTCACTTATTGTTAGAATTGCGAAGAAGTTTAAGAAAAACCATTTATTCTGGATCATTCCCAACACAGAGGAGTGCTTAACTAGCGTTTTACAGAAAGATGATAATTTATTGGAATATTGACGTGTACGACACCAAATGTTACTATTATCTTCTCGTCTCAGCTTCAAGAAAACTGCGCTTGTAGCAGTTTATACTCATCCATAAATTTCTGCGTCTTCACTCTATATTTTTGTGGAAATTTCGCTCTTATGTATTCGATGACACTGACTACGACGAATACGTATAAAATGTCGACTGGGATTGACTGTGCGCGTTGATCTCGCAGCTGTTTGAAGATCTCGGGCATCTGGAATGCTAAGCGCTTGTACTTGGTGTTCTGGAATGTGGTTTATGCAACAAACTCACATCGACCGGTTTTCCCGCGAATAATCTTCGTAAGATGATATCGACCATAATGATACAACCTGTACGACCAATACCAGCCGAGCAATGCATCACGATTGGACCACAATCGAGCTTATCTGCCTGAAAGGCAGGAATTTAACTTGTGCAGAAAGAGTTTTTCTGTGGGCTGGCTGACCACAACTTTGCGAAGAAGACGCAGCACATGACGTCCGCTTTGTGGTACTCCTCGATCCGGCCAAGTAGTCATATGGATCATTTTAACTACATGCGAGTTTGAGCAACCCTCTGGCACTAGTTCGATAGTGTAGACCATAAATTTTTCTTCAGATTCGACCTTTAAAGCATGATTTTGAACGAGAAGAGTTACAATTAGCTAGAAACGGTTCCCCGACGAAGGCGAATGCTATAGCTCGCGACGCGGGCGCGAGTGCGGCAGTCGAGCACCATCGCCGAAGTGCATGGAAAGGCTGGTTTCAGATTCGTAAATTCCGGAACACTTCCAACAGAACACTCGAACTGTGCGCTGTGCTGGAAATGTTCCGAAACTTATGGTCCATTATGAACCCAGCCACGCCGAGAGCCTACGAACGTTCGCAAACCGCGTTCGCATGCGCTTAACGCATGTGAGCCTTCCTCCGGGACTACACTTTTCTGAAGTAACGACGGCAACAAACTCTCCGCCCAATTCACCTTCTTGGTATTCACAAAAATCTTCCCTTGCGTGAAAAATTTTCCAGCTTCTGTTGGCCAATATTCAGAACACTTTATTTTTCCTTCTTCAACGCACTGAAATTCGGAGACCTTACTAAGACTATTGAATAACTTTGTGAGCCTTTACTCTAGTTAGATTGACAATGCTAGGACATTGTTCTTGAAAAACCATTCTCCAAAAGTCTCCTATAGTGTTATCCAATGGTCCCTAAAATAAGGATAGACAATATAGTAAAATACTGTGAATATGACCCCCAATAGTATGGTCGACTGCACAAAATCGCTCATGTCGCTGTAGGCTGAACGCCCGGGAGCGTACAGGGCTTTTCAACCTGAGAGTAGCAAGTTTCGCTTGCGCGGCTCCTCCAACGCGGCCGCCTCGCTCAGGCCGCGCGCGGCGTTTGCTGCGTATCGCCCGGATTTCGCCAAGCTTCAGTCGACGCGCAGCCAGCGCCACGAACGCTGCGCGGACCTAAGCGTGGCGTCCTAGCGGAGCGGGTGGGACACTCAGGTTGTAAAGCCCTGTATTTGGCGCGCGTAAAAATCAGTGGCCTGCGCGCTACGCTTAGCATTGGCGCTCCATGGCTCATGCAGTCGACAGACGCGCGCGCCATGATCGCGTACATTTAGCCTGCGATACGGGCGACTTCGTGTGCAGTTGACTTTACGTACCTGTGTCGCAATAAATTCTCTGTCATGTTTTTCAAATCTCACCCAATTCGCATGTATATAATCTGACTGGGGAGGTACATCATGCGTTAGCACAACTCTAGTTCTATCCAAGCAAACGACATCCTGCAACAAAATCTTTGGCAAAGTGTAAGGTAGGCGCTATACTCCTCGAGGAGTATAGCATGGCGACGATCGATATGCACCAAATACGTGTAAAACCGGCGATTTTTGTCGCCGATATTGGCGATCGCCAGTCGCCAGTGTTGGCGACTACACATTAAATGTATATCGATTGGACGTGTGGTAACTTGTCAGCGATCGATACGCATAAAAGACACATTCGCCAGTATTGGCGACTGCGATCGTCAGTCGCTACGACGGGCGATCGCCCGTCGCCTTGCTATACTCCTCGAGGAGTATGGCGCCTGCCCAAGGCCTGGTTCAGAAAAGCTCGTGTGCGACCGCCGAAAACCACGTGGACGCGTCGCGTGTTTATCGATTGAGGTCAGCCGGCACATCTCTGGCATGGCGCTGCGACGAACAGCTCTGAACTAGCTTGAAGAACCAACAGCATTCGCTAACATTATAGCGATTCTTGGTCGGATTTTCAGAGAAAGCCGTGAATTTGAAATCTGCCGTTCGATATGAACTGATTTCTTGATACTGTTTTCTGAGACCTTCAATGCCTGAAACGCCTTTTGAACTTGATTACATTCCTCCCATGAAAAATGGATATTACCCATTACTAATATCAAGTCCACAAAACAGTCTATAACACGATCAATTTCTGGAGATATTTGGGCAGTTTTCGACTCCTGCGATCCAGTCTAAATAAGTCACTTTTCATAAGATCATATGACTCACAAAGCAAACGTTTTTTGACAAAGTATCTCACACGAAAGATGGTCGGCCGTTTTGCACAACAGCGTGGCGCAACGCGTCGTACATCACGCTGGACGCGTTCCTAAGCGGAGCACATTGTGGTGCAAAACGTCCATTCGAACACATTTTCCATAGAGACCGGTAACTGGCGATAGGCCCGCACCCCTCTTCTTCTTGTTGCTCTTGCTGTTCTCGCCATTGATGCAGCCCTCCTTGCTTGTGACGAACCACGACGACGTGGCCTCTAATGCAGAGGCGTAAATCTTCGGTGCTGCCTTGTAAGAAATGACTGAGCCCTACCATAGAGAAGTCCTTTTATAACTTTCGATATCATTCGTAGCTTTGATAAATAAACTAGATTAGATAAAGACCTTACTATCTTTGGAATGAGAGGATTGAATGGCATACTCGGCCACAGCTCCCCTGTGGACCATTGTTTAAAGGCAGTGTCCGGGCAGAAGTTCGATTTTGAGATTTTGTGCTTATACAGGTCTATTCGCCCTGCTAAATCCGAAAATCCACATTGGAAAGCTCGAAAACGACAAAAAAGGGCTCTAGCGCAGGAGGGGCAAGTGGGCGGGTGCTACCCACTGCGAATTCACGCTCCCAGTTTCCGTAGCAGCTTTCTCGATTCCATTAGCCGTCATAACATCGCTATCGGCCAAGTGCGAATGATTGACTTGAAACCGGAAGCGAGAAGATCGCTCCGGAAGCTGGGAGCGTGAATTCATAGTGTGGAGGACTCCGCCCACCTGCTGATTTCCCTAATGTGTTAGAGCCATTTTTCGCCGTTTTTGCGCTTTCCAATGTGCATTTTCGGATTCAGCGTAGCGAATAAGCCCGGGTAAGTGCAAAATCTTAAAATCGAGTTCTTGCCCGAACACTGCCTTTAAGGAGAGAGTTTAGTCAGTAAAATTAGCTTCGTCTGTGTTGATCTTTCAAACGTGCTTCGAAGGGATATCGGAAGGAAAACCATCTCTACAAAAACACATGCTTTAGGCCCCGGTCAGACTTCACGCGACTTAATCGTCGCGATCTAATCGCCAAGATTTCCATTCATTTTCATTTCACGTTCATTTTTTTCGGTCTGGAAAAGTATCACAACCGAATGCAAGTTGATCGGCATGGAATGATCTTGTAACAGTTGTCTCGTCGCGACTCAGTCGCGACGATCAAATCGCGTGAAGTCTGCCCGGGGCCTTAGAGGAGTGGTTCGGCAAAATGGACTCCTGCTAGATTTTGGTAGTTTCAGGTAATGCCCCCGAAGTGTGCACCATAGCCCAACCCCACCCTCGAATTCATGCGCTAAATCCTGAAAAAGCGCTTCAGAACTCCATCGACACCCGCAGCAGAAGTGGGCGGGGCTTGCGGGTTTTGAGGCCTGCGTTCATACTGTTCCCGAACTTCGGGATCAGTATGAACGTGGCCGAAGTTTCTTTACAGGACTTAGCGCATGGATTCGAGGGTGGGTTGGGGCTACAGTGTATTTGGGAGTGTACTACCCAACACTAGCAACACAGGGGTCCATTTTGCCAAACCACTGTCTTCAATCACCTGTTCCTTATATGGAGGTGATGAAGTTGCGTAAAAAAAATTTCTTCAACAAACAGACTCCTTTAGAATGCAAGCGCTCAAATTAGATAAATCCAAGGTTTCAACCATGTGTAGAATCTTCACCAAATTGCGCGTAGATCCGTGCGTGTTTGGTGTGGATGGATAAAGCACATTACCTCACGCCTAAATCTGCCGTTACAACGCTGAACTCTAAAATTAGACTTCTGTTTTCGTTCTTGGGTTATAAATATCGTCATGGTACTCAGATCAGCTGCTTTCTTTTGTACAAAACATTATAGGTCAAGCTGGATCCTTCGGAGTCAGAATTCAATGAAGAAATTGACGCATATGCTAACCTGCTAGAAGATGAAGCAGTTGCATTATCGCCGGCTGCACCGGTGCGTCCTGTGCCTCTTGGGCTGGAGTTGAAGTGAATTATGCCTCAGTTGTTTTTCAGAGCTCTTGACAACTTCGTTATCCATACATCTCTTCAGGGGTGATGGTGACAATCCCTTGGAATTTTGGCCAGAAGATGATCCTTACGATCAAGTGATCAGGCAGTCTGTTGCCGCTATATGCTCATCTGTTGGCTTCGATACCATAGACGCAAATATGCTAGAAGTATTGGCACAGCGTCTCAAGAACTGTAAGTTCGAACAGTGGACATATTTTTTCTGGCTGATTACGTTTTACGCATTTTGCTGTTATCTTCTGTCAATAAGAGTTTTAGACCTTTGCTCAATAAGCCTCGGGGCCAAGCTCAATTGTGAAGCAGCGGGTAGAAGTATGGCAATTGCAAGTGATGTGTGGTTGGCGCTGGCTGACTTAGGACACAAACTCGATCAGCTTCCAGCATATCTACGACATCTTCGAGTTACTGGAACGATAGCTATAGCTCCGCGTAAGTGTTTACTTCAACGAATCCATATTTGTTTTACAAATTTTAGCCCGTGAGCGGCAAGAGCCACCCATACTGCCCCCTATGCTTGTTGGGCAATCACGACCGCATCCGCCGTATGTGCACGAGTTCTTTCCTGCGTTTCCTGAACCACATACATACATCCACACAGAGGTAACGTTGCGTTATTTCTTTGATCTTGGAATCTCGTTTTTCTTATCTCTGAGAGTTTCTTTCTTAGGTTTTTGTCCGTCTTCCAGTTTACTTAGTTTACATTACTTCACCTCAGGAAATAACTATCTGGTTATTGCGCAATTCTCCATCGTGATATTGCTTTCTGGGCTCTGAGTCAACCGTGACTGACATCGATTTCATGAATGTGGTTTAGATCTCAGGAGAACCTGATCTCACGTATGAAGCCGTACGAAAAACTGCTGCACAACGACGGCGGGAGATGGAACGTTCACTCATCAACTACATGATGTGTATGCATGCCTATACCACCTTGTTTCCACAGTTTGAGTCAAAAGTTCGGAATGAAGCCAGACAGTACGTGAGTATGCAAGTCTTTGACTAATGTTGTTAGGCCCCGGGCAGACTTCACGCGATTTGATCGTCGCGACTGAGTCGCGACGAGACAAATGTTACAACATCATTCCATGCCGATCAACTTGCATTCGGTTGTGATACTTTTCCAGCCCGACATTTTTGAATGTGAAATGAAAATGAATGGAAATCTTGGCGATTAGATCGCGACGATTAAGTCGCGTGAAGTCTGACCGGGGCCTTAGAGCGTAAGTTTTCTTGGTTGCTCGATTTTGGCTATCAGTACAGGTAGTTTTTTTCTTGTTTCCTAAAATGTTGATGCTTCAATATAGTCCAAAATTTTTGAGTTTTGACTTGCTTTTACGGTATGGTTACAGCATATATTCTTTAGCTTCGCGATCAGGAGCGGGAACGAGAGTTCAAAAAGCAACGGTCTGAAGCAATCAAAGCTGGTATTATTGAAGAGAAATACTTCGACAGAGAGGGCGCTGACAATGAAGAGGTGATATACGCTGTTGAAAGTGCACGAGTCAAGATACCTTTGGTGAATAAATCTCCGACCCATTAGGACTCGGATAGTGAAAGAGATGAAATGCTGTCCGATGGTGATCTCGAGGAAGTGGCTGAAACGGAAATGAACATGATGCTGCAACGTATACCTGCTACATGTACAGTTGAGTTTGCTGTTGTGTAAATCCTGTCCGGATCTTACGCTTCCTACTCGGCTCATCATTATTTTCATCGTTATTGTGGCGTTTCAGTAATCAACCCCATGCCAGAAGCACGACCATTCATGTCTTGTATGCGATCAGATGAGATGAAGGAGAAAGGTTGCGATGACGAAGATGAGGAAGAGGTAATTCATCTTCCGTCCATCTTTTTGCTGTCTTAGTCATAACTTTTTTGCGCTTTTCAAGCGCTTTGTTAGGAGGTTTTTATCTCTAGTATATGGAAATGACCCTTTTCGCTAATAGTTTTCATGTGTATGACCCACAGGATGCCTCTCCAACCTGTTGTTGACATTGACTGAAGCTTTACCTATATGGTTGCTATAGCTTTTATGTGTCATATGATAAGATTTGAGCTCCATATGGACGCCATTTATCCAGCATTGGGTGCGCAGCCATACGTACGCAAACGCGGCGCAGAGCAAACTCATGACTACGAAAAAGAAAATGCGTCATTTACAGCACTTTTCTGTACCTCAATTTTGATGATCTTAGCAGTTTTCATAGTATCAAAACGCAGACGACGTACATCCTAGCGGCGCAGTCCCTGCATTCTATTGTTGCAAAAAGTAATGCTAAACAGCTGCTTTTGAAGGTTGAGATTGATTGCGAAAAAATTGGAAACCACCCACAGCTTCTACACATCCCTGTTTAGGAGACCGAAAAGAAGGAAGGCAATGATGATCCGCATACCAACAAAGTTAGAAATAATCACGCCTCTGCTGCCGAAGATGGCGACGGACATCCACATGTAAGATTTTCCCCAATCACATATATGTGACGAATAGAGGCGCATCGCGGCAAAATGTCGAATCTAAGTTTTTCCGCTTACCTTGGCTAACCCGTCGCGCTCATTCTACAAATGTAATTTGGATGCAAAAATTGAACGATTTTTTGGATCCACCAGTTATGAGTTCAAACGTATGGAGCGGAGCCCTAATTTACAGATGCAGAGTCGTTGTTAGACGCCTAACAAGGAATGCTACCTAACTTAGCTCAGCCTTTTGGCAAGTACCATATATATATTCTGAATCTGCTTCAAACGCTGATTCCAAATATACTATTCTTAGCTGCCGAGCACCATTCCGAAGCGAGTCATGGGCTTTTTCCTGCGCAAAATCGGCATACTCGTCGACTCACTGACATCACGGCATCATCACCTAAATGCTAATACACTTGCGTTTTGCTTCTTTTCAATAAGAAAAGATTGGATTTGTGCTACTTCGATAGCTTAGCACCTCTTTCTTGCAGATTTTTTATCTGCAGGCAGTCTTCCCATGTTTAGTAATATGCCAATTTTGCGCAGGAAAAAGCCCATAACTCGCTTCGGGATGGTGCTCGGCAACTAGGAGTAGCATATTTGGACTCAGCGTTTAAAGCTGATCCAGAATATATATGTCCTTCGCCAAAAGCCGGAACTGAGTTAGGTAGCTTTCCTCATACAGTCGATGTCAGTTACGTACTCCCTTTCGCATGGAAACTACGCATGCTCGACGCAAGAGCCGGCGCGCGGGCCACCAATCGATAGGCCGATTTGAGTGCCCGAGCCATACGCGCGCGAACGCGGCGCGAAGTTCTTGCGCTTGCGGAAAAGGGAACAGATAATTAACATGGATTGTAAGTAGGGTATGCGCGCTCTAGGTTTCAGTTTAGAATCGCTGCATGGGAGTTCCCGAAAAGCTTTATAAAATTCTAGGCTCTGTAGAGGCACTTTTGCTCCGGCTGGATGAATTTTGAGTTATATGCTTGTTGTTGCAACTTTATGTAATCCCTGCAACTTCCGCTTTGCCGGGACGCTGCTTGTAAAATCTGCCATATTTCTATATCTCAGAGTCATCATTCAGGCATACGACAATCCCTACCTTCGGATTTCGCAAATACAGAGAAAGGAATTGAAGTTGTTGAGGGAAAGCTTGGATTTACCACCTTGAATTTATCATCATTCAATCTTATGCTGTTTGTGTCATTTGCGGGCTTCTGTCTTTTGTAGATACATTTTGGTCAGAAGATAATTATATCAGCAGTTGTTTATGAAGTAATGATTACAAATTTTATTCAGCATCATATGTCACGTTGATATTAATTAATCTATATTTGGAAGGTATAATGTTCCGGGTAAACAATCATAAGATTATATAGGGCGCTTGTTACGTTTGTTAACGCTCATTTGTTCGGATCTTTGATTTGGTCAACAGCAGCTTCTCCTTTGCCTGCGTCGTCACCTACTAAAGTCCGCATAGATGGAGTCATTTCTTTTCGTTTTTTCTTCATACAAAAGAGATGCAACATCAAGATTGTGTAAACGAGTATAGCTTGCAGCCAGAGGAACATGTTTCTGAAAAAATTCGATGTGAATATGGCGAAAGGAACACCAAAGTCACCAAAGTACCAAACACAAACGCTTGGGAGTACCGTTGATTCACTTTAGGACTACAGGACCGATATCGGACAGCACAGTAGTGAAAATGAACTATCCTTCCTTATTGTTGGTTCAGTTTGGTGATGTGGTTGTCTGTTGAAAAATAAGCAGTGGACGGCCATATTCAAGCTAATTAAAGGCAGTGGCTCGGCCAATGGAACCTATCAGATCTTGGTGCCTTCAGATAATAGACCCCGGAAGTACAGGGCTTATCAGTTGCAGAGGCGGGTGCACCAGCATCTCCGCGCGCAGGGCGTTTGGTGTCGGAGCGCGCAATTCAGGCACAGATGTGTACTATTTAAGCTACATAGACTAACAAGTGAAGATCTTGACGATGACACTTATCAGTGTCACGAGCTTCGAGGATGTCGTTGAGAAAGCGACAACAAGTTAGGAATGAAAGACTGCCGCATGACGAGGGGCAGAAGTAGTGTTAGTTAAGCGTGCGCGAGCGCGGCGCGCACGTACCCTCACCGTTGTAAATCCTGCGCCTTATGCTCTCTGCAGATAATAAAGCCGCGATCGCGCCCAAAGGTATTGCCTTTGACCCGTTGACGACGACGCCTAATTTTGCATAGCGGCGCTGTGGGACGACGCGATTTTGTACAACACTTTTGGCGTAGGAAAGTTTTTTGATTATTTACGAAATGTGGAGTTGTTTTGCAGACAACTACTGTCATCTTCTTGGACGACAAAGTCTACAGGGTGCAAGAGTGCAAAAAATTGGAAAAAGTACTGAACTGTGGAAAACAGACTAGACCTGGAAAGGATATGATTTCGCCACGGGTGTGGGCCACCGGTGGTCCACAGCGTTCCTGGTGGCAAAAAGTGCGTGGGCCACCGGTGGTTTATTCATCGTCAATGGGTTAAGATCCGAATGAAGGTATCCCAGCAAGGCCTGGCAGTGGAATGGCAAATGTTAAAGGCAGTGTCCGGGCAGAAACTCGACTTCTAAAAAATCAACTTATCTGGGGTTATCCGCAACGCTGAATCCGAAAATCCACATCAGAAGGCGCGAAAACGGCGAGAACATGCATTTTCCAAGTCCTCACATTTCGAAATTTGGGGATCCCCGCCAGGCTAAGACGCAGAGGTTGCAAAGAGCGCACGGTTTTTAACTGTGGCGGCATACGTACTCTGCCGTCTGGCAGGAATTCAAAGAGACCGGCCATACTATTCCTGTGATTCCTGCAATTCCTGCGAATTCGTGTGATTGCTGCGGGTCCCGTAACAATGTATATTGCGAAAATACAATGTATACTGAAATTCGCAAAGCGCTCCGTAATGCGGCACATCGGAAGTCAAGAAATCACAAGAACTGCAGGAATTACAGGAGTCGCAGGAATCACCTCCTGGAATAGTATGGCCGGTCCCAAACAGCTCGGAGGACCCCGCCCCGGGGAACACGCGGAAGGCGACAAATGCCCTGGAACAGGCACGACTAGTGGCCACGCCCTGTCCGAGTTCTCGTCAACTCTCGTCCTTCCAATCTTTGTACTGGAGGGCCAATGCCACCGATATGGCGGTTTCGGAGACTACGTCCGGCTACAAAATTGAACGACACAAAGGTGCTATCGAAAACTGTCTTTAGGACCACCTTGCGACTACGTCCTCGTGCAAATATTGTAAACATATTCACGTCAAGTAGCATTTAGGGCAGCCAAACCACTGCGTCGTACCTTACGCAAGTATCCTTTACGCTTATAACGTGTGAAAATTACGCCATAGTTTTTGTGCACTAAAAAATGTGAAAATTATACAGAACGCATAAATAATGATTGCGCACAAACTTAAACGTCTTTTTTTGACTATGGTAGCCATGAACACGTAGACCTGCCTGAAAAGCTGCAGAAGCTTAAATTAGTGGTACGCGGCTCGTGTGTTTGAAGGCACGCGGGCGGTACTGCTTGTCAACTGCGCGCCGCTCGTACTCGTGCACGCCGAATCACGCGCCGCTCGTATAGGGGGGACGCTGTGGAACGCCGCTGATCCTGAAATTTGGATGTTATGGTACGCCGCTTGTACGTTTGAAGGCACGCGGCTGGTCCTGCTTGTCAGTTGCGCGCCGCTCGTACTGATACACTCCGAATTGCGCGCCGCTCGTACTCAAATCCGACTGTGTCGCGCCGCTCGTACGCTCGACAGGCGCGGGTCGTAGGAATCGTTGTTTTTGCGCGCCGTTCATCCGAAACGAATGTCAGAGTTGTCTGTCTTTACGGTTCTATATCTTTCACCTTCTGTGTAAACATTTTTGCTTTTTGCTTTAGGGATATGAGGTGTATTATTGATACGGGAGTTCCTTCATGTAGTTGCACATATAAGCGAGCAAGAGGAGTCGTCACCTGACTCATCAGAGGTATGACCTTTCTTGTGTTCTGTGCTTTTCTACTTTTACATTTCATCATTTTCTTATATGGATATTCATCATTTTCTTATATGGATATAACCTTATGAATGTCCTCCCCCTATTCATAGCTAGCCTTTTTGTTATCATCAAAATGTTTGCGCGACTTAATCATTCCATTTTAGTTGAGATACAGAAAAATCGCTTTCAACTTCGTGCGCCATAGCTATGGACTTACGAGGTAAGAGCTCTCACTCACTCCTTCTGCTTGAACTTCGCCGATCGTTTCTTTTGAAGGATGGATCTCACACCTAAGTGCATTCGAAAGAGGCGAGCTCAAGGGCCATTGACGTGAGCATTCTGTAAACTCTGCTACTTACACTCGAGTTTCAGTGCCAAATTCTGCTTAAGTTTAACTTTTGTATATTCATATGGTTTTTTTATTTTAGCTATCCTAACGGTCCTAGGTTCTTGTCTTTTCTTGAAGAAATGGTACTTAACATGACTTCATTCACTTGTAAGCAGTATTTCTGTATACATAATGGTCCCTTGTGATACCGTTGTCGATAATGACTATTAGACTTACAAAAGAACTTTGGAAACTTTGTACAGGGATTTCTTGTTTTTGAAGTGAAGTTGCATTCTACATTGCTGAGTGATGGTATCATTTCCTTTTTTTGTCCTATATCTGGTGCAATTTTGTTGCGAATAAAGTGGTTTTTCTCTTTGCCCTGTCAAACGAAGAATAGTGAGCAGAAAAAATAAGATGAACTTGAAGTATTGGCAAAGGCTAAATTCTGAAAGATATCGCGGCTATATTGAGTTCGAGGTGCGGCTGGATACAAATTGATGTTGACATTTTGTCTGAAAATAAGGATTCTTCTTACTTTGAGACTGGAAAGAAAACTGCTTTGCAGCATTTATTGTGTTTGATTCATCTCTATCCGAATGACAGCTACATAACTGCATAGAACTGATGCAATTCCATTATCCTTATTCACTGCAGAAGCTAATCGAAATATCGTCGGCTTCCAGATTTGTAGAGGTGTGGAGGTGGAGTCTTGCCAACTCACAGCGGGGCGATTTTTGCTAGCGAGAGAGTACGAAAAGCAATGCTATAACATGGAGGTTTAACAAGTTTATCCTTTTATCAGGCAAAGTCTGCAACACACCTCCACACGAACCTGGGAACTGATCATATGCGTGAGTTAGATGGTGACCGAAATCGAATTTCGCTGCCAAATCTCACACTCAATCAGTTAGCTACCAGCGAACAATCTACGAGTTTACAACTTGCGTTACGTAACCTTTCCTTATACACTGAGTGATCACACCTACCAATTTTACACAACGAACTCTTATGGATAAAACAGAGTAGTCGAAGACGGCACCGCCACCATTCAGGTGTCAGCCTATGCGCTACAAGAGCGTCAATCTGACTAATTGACTCGAGGCCAGCACTAAACAGCAGGCAAATGGGAGGCGTGGCCACCGTTCCCTCGCCTTTGCTGGGTTTTGTCGCCTTCCGCACCACACCCCTCCGCCCCAAGGCGTAAGTTTCCCCAATTTGCAATCGTTTTTCTTGCTTTAGGTCGAACGTTTTATGCTCGCAGTTGCGCGATGTTGTGTCTCAGGGGGGCTACTTTCACATGGCAGAGAAATCTCAGGACCCCCATTTTGCCCGGACACTGCCTTTAAGTTGAAACCATCAGGGTAAAAATGCGAAGGGATCCGTAAGTCTACGTTACATGCACATTCATTTCGACAGGTTATTACGGACCCTGACATGCAAAAGCACGGTACTGCTCGCGCGTCATTTTCTGAAATCCAATTACTACTTTTCCATCGCGTAGTAATTAACTGCCCCGTTTACAGCCAACGCTATGGCTACTGATTTGAAGTATTGGCGGACAGTGGCTTGGAAGAGCATGCTGCAGAATATTGAAAACATGCCGCTGAAGGTGGTGGAACTTTTTTGAAATTTTCCGACTGCCAAAAAATGGAAAAATGACTCGTTGCAGCACAGATGATGATAGGCATGTACCCTTTGTTTCAACCAGATCGGCGGCTGGAAGGCGGGGCTTCGTGACCTAATTAAAGCTAGAAAATAATCGGAGAGCATGTTCGCGGGAAGGCGCAGATGAAGCCTCGCCTTCCAGCAGCCAATCTGGTTGAAGCAAAGGGTAGTTGGCATAAATACGCGCAGTGAGACTGGAGAACAGAGCATGGAAAACTTTGAAAAACTCAAAAACTTGAAAAAGAAAAGAATTAAAAGCCTACCAAATATTATTCAAAATAGGTGGGCGTTTGCCCACTCAATGCCACCATAAGTTTGGCAAAACATTCGATTCACATGATTTTTTTCCCTAAGTTTTACATAAATGTGTTCTACTCCCAAGTCTGGTAGTAACATTTTGGTTTCAAAACACCATGCATAAGAAGACCTGTATTCCTTTCTGCTAGCTCTCAGGAGCACCTTCTCGACGTTGGAACAATTCCGTTATGATGGGCACTGTTTATAGTCTTCTATATAACACCCAAGGCTGCTTCCTCCTTCGTTCAAGTTGCCGTTATTCTGATAGAATAGGACTGTTTTATATGTTGCGGTTTGGCGCAGCGAAACGTATAAGAAGAGTTTGCGCCGCCGCACGAAGGATTGGTCAGAACGCTATCTCGCGCTACCTCGGCCTCGCCTTCGCATATAATTTCGGCAGTCCTGCACAAAATTCAGCCTTCTTATACGTTTCGCTTAGCGAGCGGTCGGGCACCAGTTAACGCCAATAAATCCCATCGAACAAACAGCCTCTAGTACTATTACCCAAAAGAGTCACACCGAGGAAGACTGGCCGGTTTACTTAAAGGGAGTGTCCCGGCAGATTTTGCACCTCCACCTTTTTGCATGTTTTAGGCCTTTTCGCCACGTAGAATCCGAATTTTAGCTTTGAACGGGCTGAAAAGGCCGGTTTTGGGGCGTTTTCCTAATTCCAAAAAAGCAGCTCGAAAGAGATTTTTACATAGGAAAGTTGGGAGGTCCTCAGACGAAGACCCTGCTACCTGTAATTCTTGCTTTGGATAGCATGCATCATGGGGAGAGCGCTCGTGGGGTCCCGCGCCGAACAGATAGGAAAGGCCGTCCAGGCGCGCGCCAGTTGGGGTTGCGCGCGCCGGTTCAAGGGCCATTTTCTCGGCCCAGGGGGAACATCACCCAGCCGGACTGCGCCTAGGGGTCGGTGGGGTGACCAGGAACCCCACCACATGTGTATCCCCCAGGACCCGAATCTGCCGGGACACTGCCTTTAAGGAAATTCATTTTTCATCAATGAATAAATGTTGAATAAATTAGAAAATAAAAAATTCCAACAATGACTATCGATTAAATTCTAAAGTAAAAAAGTTCGAATAAAATGTATCGAATATGAATATCGAATGGATTCGCAATTGTAAATTTTGAATGAATGAATCCCGAATAAAATCGGAGAATCAAAAACATGGAATGAATATCGATTAAATTTGAACATTGAATCGAAACATTCAAACATTCGAACATATAGCAAAGAAATACTACAACTAGGAATTTTCAGATGTATTACTTTCAACAAATGTATTGCATACAAGTACACTCAACCAAGTAATTTCAGAAATGTTAAAAAATTTGTTCACAATACCGTAAGCAGCATGATCTAAATCCTCGGCCTAGCCTTTGATCTATTTGAGCTACCCCACAGGTATAAAAGGTAACCCCGCTATAGTGTTATCACTATTCCTTCTCTATCCCACTCCTCCCTACAAATGAGCCTCAGGAGTGGTGTGGTCTTATACAGTTCCCTGTCTAGGGGTAGAGGCGAAACAGGATCTCACTTGATAGAATTATTGAGGGTCAAATTTTGAAAAAATGTTCGAGTGATTTGTCAATTATCCAGAGCACATACAGGGCTTATCAAACGCAGTGTCGCTTGCATCAGCAACTCCACTCCCGCGCTGGGCTCTGCGTCTCTTCCGCGAACATGCTCTCTGATCACTTTCCCAAGGCGAGCGTGGGAAAGGCGGAGCCTCAATCGATTGAAAGTGATCAGAGAGCATGTTCGCGGAAGAGACGCAGAGTCCAGCGCGAGAGTGGAGTTGCTGATGCAAGCGACACTGCGTTTGATAAGTCTTGTATTTAAAATTTGCTGACATACTCGGCTAAAGGCGATCATCTATCTTATGTATAAAGCTGAATGTCTGTTTGTCTGTCTGTATGTCTGTCTGTCTGTATGTGTGTACGTATGTTCCGAATAGAAAATTCCATTTCTGAACCGATCGGGACCAAACTTGGCACACATACACTTCGGGCCCCGGCGGGTGTCATAGGCTACTTTTCGTATCGATCGATATCGATTTTATCGATTTTTTGCAAAATTTGAGCTACGGGGCTGGGAGTTGGCACAGGGGGGTAAGTGAGCATGGGGATTCCGAATACAATATTAGTTTTTAAAATCGTGCATTACTTTTATCGATTTTATCGATTTTTTTGCAAAGTTTGAGCTACGGGGCTGGGATTTGGCACAGGGGGGTAATCGAGCATGCTGATCACCCCCGTGGGGGTGATCAGCATGCTCGATTACACCCCTCTGCCAACTCCCAGCCCCGTAGCTCAAATTTTGCAAAAAATCGATAAAATCGACATCGATCGATAACGAAAAGTGGACTGTGACACCCGCCGGGGCCCGAAGGGTGTGTGTGCCAAGTTTGGTCCGGATCGGTTAAGAAATGGAATTTTCTATTCGGAACATACGGCGGAGCCGGGTAAGCCAGCTAGTATATATATATATAAAACTCAATGTCTGTAAGGATGTTCGTTTAGTTGTTCGTTCGTTATAGAAACGCGCGCCACTGAACCGATCCGGCTGAAACTTCGCACACGTATATTTCCGACCCCGGCGGTGGTTTAGAGCTACTTTCCGCGGCGATTCGCCGGGCCATTCTATCGATTTATTGATTTGTTTACTCAAACCTAAGAAAATGAAGGGTCACCATGGTAACCGATCATTTTTACATATAAGCATGTAAGCAGGGGCGGTAAAGTCCATTTCAGTCTTAAAGTTGGTAGGGTGCGGCAATTAGTTCGGAAGCGCTTTATGCGCATGTTAGAAGAAATCTAGAGGCGTAAGTTTACAAGTTCTGTTGGCTTAACTAACTTGAAGTCTCGGGTGAGACCGGGGCCACCAGCTAGTAACTTATAATAACGGGCTGAGGATGTTTACGTGACTTTGTGTGTGTGTGTGTGTGAGAGTGTGTCTGTTACAAAATTCGTGGAGCTTGTTCCAGCCAGCGTTCTAAGCCAAAATTTTGTATAGCGCATGCTACCTTCATGAAAGTCCAACATGCAAAAACACGAGTGGATTCGTTGAGTGGATCCCTCAGAAATTGCGCGCCAATCAGGTCCACCTGGCTTCTGTACCGCAAAATTCGGTCCGTATCACCACTTTTTGCAAAGTCGTGGATGAGTTTGGTTAGGAAATGTGCAAGCGATGGAGTTTAGCCTGAAAAGTGGTCGAAATTTACTACATAACGAAAGCGGCGCCAAAAAGAGTTGGTTGTGTAAATCGTCAATTTGCCAAGGTAGCTAAGCGTTTGAGAAGATTTTCGCACAGAGATGCAGCTCACGGTTACTATTACCTTTGTGGCGACACCAAGCCATAACAAATCCAAAAACCTATTCAAATTTGGGTTTGTCTTCCTGCGAAAAGTTTCGTCCACGCGAAATTACCGATCTCACGTGAAAAGACTTTCTAAATGAGTGGTTGTTTACACTTTATTCGTGAAAGTCGGCATAGCGCGGTGAGCTCCAGTGCCACGATTTTACGAGAATGAGTAAGGCACATAGATAGTAGAGCCAGTGCGAGCCTCTGCTAAGCAGAGGTGACGCACAGGTTCATTTATAAATCAACAGCACCCTCACCCATCTCTGCCAGCTCCTAGCTCCGTACCTCAAAGTTCTCCAAGGGAAATTGAAAAAGCAGATTTTTATTCGTAATCCTCGCCATCATTATACCCTACCCCGTGTACCATCTCCCGTCCCCGTAGCTCCATAGTTCTCAAAAAGTCAATAAAGTTGGTTAGTTGGCAGCTAGTCTGTATATCAGCAAAACGTCATATTTTACTTCCCATTATTAAGCAATCTAAAGAGAAAACGCTTCGTATATTTTCTTATGCTGTGTCCATGAAGTGGGTGTAGGACGATTCGCACGACCGTAATCTTTTCCACAGAGGATCATCGCCGCGCGCGACACACCTTGCGGCGGCTTTCGCCTAAGCAAAACAGGGGGAGGAAAGGTTTGCGGCGTGCATTACATGTTAACACGTTTCGGACCGGTGCTGCACATGGTGCAGCACCCTGCTTTGAAGGATCTTTTTGACGTTTACAGGAGGTTTTCTCTTAGCCCAAGGTTATCAAGTCAAAGGCTAAAGCTTCTACTTTCCAAGTGACTCTGTAGAGTTGTGCCGCCGCTATTTGTTTAGGAGATATGAGCACAAATCGAACAACAGTTGCAACGAAGTGCGGCGACGCGAACGACGCGTGCGACGTCACAACTTTTCTTTGCTTTGATTTCGAAGAGAAAAACCCTAGTTTCAATAATGATGTGTACCGTGTACAACATAGATACTTTTGAATACTATTAGGATCTGAGTTCTTGTTCCTATCTTTCAAGAAAGCACAAAAGTCCCTCTCAAGCGACAAAATTCAAACACTTCGAATTCACTCAGAACTTTGGATATGGAGCTTATCTAACATGCTGATTACAGATGTGGCCCACAGGCTGCGAAATAAGGTCCCTTCGTAGGCTAACGGCTGAAAGTACACTCTTTTTCGCCGCGCGCGATTTCGCGGTCCGAAACGTGTTAAGACAAGTCAAAATCAGGGAGACGCTGGAGACCGCCCGTGCGAAAAGACCGTCTCCCCCATGAAGTTCTTTAGATTGTGAGAAAGTTATTGATGTACGCAGGGATAACACTACTTTATTTCTTATAAGAATCAGCAGTGTAAAAACAAAGTGGTTGATCTATGTTCCACATGATTCTCTTCTTCCGAGTATTGTTGGAAAGTGAAAAATGCGAGTACCCATACAGTTCAAAGCTGACCACTGCTTTGAAGAGATGCATTATCGTGTTTTGCAAAAAAAAACGCTGACGAAGCGGGTTTGATAACTCAGCAGTTGGCTCTGCACCAAGCTCGAGTACTTCGAATCCGAATTTCAAAATAAAAATTCGAATAAAACTTTCGAATAAAATTATTCGAAGCCCCCTTTTCCAATTATTCGAATTTACGAATTTTATTCGAAAATAGAAAACAGTCCAAGTTTGGGTCATACTCATTCCTTTTGTAAGTTGTAGAGTCTCTTGACCTAGGGGTAATTGGTGGCATCGTGGTAATGTTATTGAACGATACGGTAGGCGAAGCGTTTGATCATGGCCGCAGATTAGAATTGTGAAGAAGGGCAGATCCATGCTATGCTCAGGTGTCGGGAGCTCCAGGTTCGTTGTTACGAAGCTATTTCAATACTGCAGTACATAGCAACTGCAGGTTAAGGGTCCTTCATACCGCGCCGGCAGCTGCTTCTAGCAGCCCGTAGCAGCCCATAGCAGCCGCCAGCAGCCCTTAGCCGCCGCTGGCCGCTTTTGTCATACGAGCGCAAAATCATCAAATTCATACTATTTTGAGTGCAATTGCCCGCACCCTCCGTTCCTCCTCCACGCTTTTTCTTTCCTGTTGCCGCAATTTGACCTCATATATCATCGTACTTGTGTCCGTTGTTGTTATTATCTCGTTACCGAGATTGGTTATCCCATTGATGCTCAGTTTCCCTCTCGCAGTTGAACCATATTTCGCCGAAGTTTCTTCGCAATGTGATTTCTTCTGACTTTGGATGCGTCCAGTTTTTGCAGGTTGCTATTTGTTGATTTTTTGAGGTATGTTCTGCTTCAATCATATCACATCGGCGTGGAAGAGGGAAAGTATAGGCAGGCGCACGCAAGGTACTAAGAATTTGATGATTTGCGCTTTTATGACAAAAACGGTCAGCGGCGGCTACGAGCTGCTGGCGGCTGCTACGGGCTGCTACGGGCTGCTAGCGGCGGATGCCGGCGCGGTATGAAGGCACCCTTGAACTGATAAAATTCGAATGCACGTGACGTTTTACACCGTAGTAAGCAAGGTTAGCATTCATACAAGCACAGCTGCATGACCCGCGTATCGGTGTTTTCTCTCACGTGGGACCCCCATCTCTTGCACGCCAATGCAGATACACTCTATCCACTGACGTCTGGGATGGGATTCGCATTATTCCACACTAGATGGTAAGGTAGCGTAATCCGCATATATATATATATATATATATATATATATATATATATATATATATATGAAGCAAATTTTGTACTTTCGTTAGTTCTGAAGATCACTTTTTTTCATTGATGAGCTTGAATTCCGCATATGCGTTTTGGACATTTGCGGTATTAGGTACACTGTCTGAACCGTTTTTATGTTTCCTGTTGAATCAGGTGGGTATGGTGAATAATATGCTCAAAAGAAGACATTGTATGATGCGCTCAGAAAATGGAAACCAGATGCGTTGACGTTCTTGCTCACCTCCAGCGGTTTCTTCCAGTCAGAGGTAACAAATTATTGCTGCAATACAATCAGAAATGAAGGTTAGAAAGCTTGAAAGCCGTGATGTGATGCATTTTAGTAAAACTGTTCATGCTGAGTAGTCTCTATGTGGTAACGGTTACCCAGACTCTATTCGTTACACCTATCAGAGTTTACTGCAGGTGTCCATTGGCAGTATTGTCAATGTGTTTCCTCAATATCATGCTTCATGTTACAATGTGCGCATCAATTTGTCAACCACGTAAACATTCGGGTGCCAGCGCATTGGTAAGTTTTCGCTGCTGTTGAAGATTGCAGTTAGAGACCAACAATTTTAATTATGCGATTTTGATAACCGTTAAATTCGATTAAAAATTGTAATGAAATAGCTTATTATAGAGCAATTACTTTTCTTGGTGTAAATGAGGTGACATATTCACAGCAGCTCTGATGCATCTCACTGGACTCAATTTCTCTTGGGGAAGTGGAGCAATACGAGTCTCTCGGTATTACAAGAGCTACTAGAGCTCTTGGCTTTGCTTCAAGTTTAAATCTGCTATCTATATATACATATAAAACTCGATGTCTGTGAGGATGTTCGTTTAATTGTTCGTTCGTTATAGAAACGCGCGCCACTGAATCGATCCGGCTGAAACTTCGCACACGTATGTTTTCGACCCCGGCGGTTGTTTAGAGCTACTTTCCGCGGCGATTCGCCGGGCCATTCTATCGATTTATTGATTTGTTTACTCAAACCTAATGAAATGAAGGGTCACCATGGCCACCGATCATTTTTACATATAAGCATATAAGCAGGGGCGGTAAAGTCCATTTCAGTCTTAAATTCGGTAGGGTGCGGCAATTAGTTCGGAAGCGCTTTATGCGCATGTTAGAAGAAATCTAGAGGCGTAAGTTTACAAGTTCTGTTGGCTTAACTAACTTGAAGTCCTTGAAGTCTCGGGTAAGACCGGGGCCACCAGCTAGTTCTCTATAAATGGAAGAGAATCTTGAGGTTATAGAAGGTGATTTGAAGGTAATGGGCACCTAGAAAATAAATGCACCAGTTCATCCTGTAATTCCAATGCTTTGCAATAGAAGATATAACATTATGTAACAGAGATGTACTAGTTATCAGTGCGTCCCCTTTGCTTCACAAAGGTTCGCAACGGTTCTACTATCCGTATCTTTCTTCGCGATCGCATATCAGTGAACTTGGAACTCATCCCGCGATGCCGGTCATCACCAATGGATTGTAAACAACCGACCATTCACAAAGCTTTCCCATGTAAAATCGGTAATTTTAGGAGGAAAAATTTTCCCGCAGCTCTTGGCTACAGAAGAACAAATGCGATTTTGAGTGGATTAATGACTCTATTTTGGCTTTATAGTCGTCATGGGATAACAATCACCTTGGCTGCATATCTATCTAAAAATCTTTCCAATTTCAATAGGAAAAACTTGACAAATTGATAATTTGCGCAGTTACACCATTTTGGCGTCACTTTGCGTGATAGATTTTTGTTACTTATTGGACTGAAGGTTTTGGGTTTGTCGAATTTACTTGTTGAACAAATCCACAGCTTTGCGAAAATTGCAATTAGCCATCCGCTTGACGCAGAGTTTTATGTTGCATTTACTGGATCGGCTGGCGCTTTGCACAGTTTACGTACACGCTGATAGGGTGCTATGACGAAAATTCTAGCTCAAGACTTTGGCTGTACCTCGCTATACGAATTTCGTGACAGACAGACATACAGACAGACAGACAAATAGACCCACGGTTAGCACTTTATTATACTAAACATTTTTCCATTGGAGTAGTCGAATGAGCTTGCCTTGAAGTCACCATCTGATGAAGCTTTCCTATCTTAAACAAATTGCGAGCAAAAACATGTGTTTTAGTCTGAGAATCTGCTTCAAATATTGTCTCCCCCAATAATCTGCTTCCTTTATGAGGCTAATGAAGAATTTCTGCACATTGAGTGACTATCAGAAAGAAATTGGAAAGTCTATGAGATATGTCACGTGTCCAGGGACTTTGAAGTGCAGCAATACAAATTTGGATAGCGTAAATGTCTGTCTGACTTTTTTTGGATAGCCGCTCGAAGATCATGGGTGACGTGCTGCAAGGTGCTGTCAGGATAACATGAAAAGGCCACTTTATGTGAGAGCGTTCGGAATGCTGGTTTTTATGACCAATCAGAAAAAAACCTTGAAAAAGGTTCAGAAAATTGATGTGCCTGCCCCATTGCATTTGGATCACCCTAATAAGAATAAGAAAAACGCTATTTTCCGCTTTCGCTGATCTTCGAATACCTATTGCAGGGCTGATTTCAACATAGGTTTAGAATTACGGTAGCAGCTTGTTCAAAGCAACGTCATTGCGAGATAACTGCCATTCCAGACCTTTGTGAAACATTCAAAAAGCTGCTACAGTGCGTTGATTTATTTATTTATTTTGTACGCTCGTAGGCGTGCTGTATGTTGAATAGGGAAAAGGTATTTATTTGATGTAATCTTCTACACTGAAAGTTTTTTTGGATTCGGAATCAGCTACCTCAATCAGGCTAACTTATTAGCAAAGTCCAGCCCTTTCGGCGACTTTTGATGAAGTTGTTTTGATTGGCGCAAAACCCTCTACTTTATGACACCCTCAAAACCCTTCGCGTTATGCCTAACAAGCTCTACTTCGTTTTTTCTCCATTTTTGGAGTAAGCAACTGACGAACATAAAGCAGATCAATGAAGACCTTTACGTCTGAGTTTTTGTGTGCATCGAGTTCTAAACGTTAGCACACGATTCGCAGGGTATCTCATGATGCTAAGTTTCATTTTCGATTTTTTTTCCGGTCAATTTTTTTGGGCAACCATCCCCCCCCCCCCCTCCTTAAATCGTTCAGGCAAGAAATCTTGTGTGGAGGTCGCTCAGCAAAAAATATGCAAAGTGTTAGGCAGCTAGTATCGCTAAGTTTTTTTCATGGAGCTTATGAGTTGCAGAAACGCCCAAAAGAACACAAAAGACACATCAAGAAGCGGAAGAAAGATGTTGGTTGATGTCTCCATTTATGTAGCTACTGAGGTATCTATTTGTAGCGTTGTCAGCGAAGACAGCAGAAAGTCAAGAAGATTTGCTCAGGAGAGAGAATGACGTCAAGAACATCACAGTCGAATGCTCTAAATGTATCAGACATTTTCTTGTTCTCATTGCATTCATTCTACCATTACTTCACCAGGGGATTGTTCTAGTCGAAGTTGCCTTCCCAGATGATTCGCACTGCAAGTTGATTCCCCTGTCTTCTTATCCTATGCGCCTCTGGACGACGGATATGCGATTTTGGGTCGAAAAATTGAACGAGTAATCGAAGCAAATGTATTCAGAACCGCTCGAATGACAAGTGTGAATATTCGGAGATATGCAGGGATACTTTCTGCTTAGCGTACTCACAATCAACACTGCTATATATGAGTCTGGGAACCTTTACGATGGATCTTATCCAGCACTGAGTTCATTTTCGCTCCAAAAAACTCAGAACTTTTTATGCAGAGGAGCGTGTTAGATATTGAAAAGAAATTTGAAAATAACATTTAATGGAAAGGCTGCCGACTAAAAGAGTTTTTACTGGTTGAAGTAAGTCTAGAATTGTATGAAGGTACTACCAAGTGAATTTAGCTGAAAGTCCTGGATAGAACACAGGATCAGAGTAGCGAGAAAGGAACAGAACCTGTGGACAGTAAAACAGGAGATATTAAAGGAAAAACTAAGGAAGTCAGAGAAGGAACGAGAGAAGTACCCTATAGATACTTGGAGTATTGATGATAAATCTTAAGGAATCTTTGCAGACGCAAGATGTCACTTCGGATATTGAAGAGCCTGATCCCGCTGAAAAGCAAGAATTTGATGATTATCTGAATGCACTTGGAGAAATGGACAATGATAAGAACATAAATAAAGTCAGCTTGTTTCCTAACTAAACCATTCCAAATAGAACAACTTTTTAGATAATTCAAAATAGTACCCTTAAGAGAAATGAGAAGAACGTAGGAGATACAGGTCAACAACAATCACCTTTTCTTCGGAATACAATGGAAAATATTCCGGTACGGACCGAAATATATTACGATTGTTGGTCTAGTAGGGCTGACGCAAAAAAGATGCATGCTCAGCAAATCAAACTAGAATGCTATCTCAATGGCATACAAATAGGTTGATCTAGTAAGCTGTTTAAATGCACCTCTTGTCTTTGCTTTCTTGTCTCATCTCTTTGACCGTTAAAAACACAAAAATATCAAATCAGAATTTTGAATAAGTGTGGTTGCATTGATCATGAATCGACTTATTACAAAACTTACTTTCGACTTTAGCAAAACATTTCAGACTGTCTCAGTGAAATGGTGATGCTCAAGCCACCATTCAAGGATATTTAAAATACAGCAGTATGCTAGATGATTTTCATTCCTTACCTCAGTAGAATATCAAACATAATTACCAATATGTGCTACAAGTATTTTTCAAATGTGACGTAAGGAAAAGTTTTGTAAAGTTCTGTTATACACTATGAATAAATTTTAAAAGATAGTGGTGTGGCTTGAGACTGATATGCATGATCATCGATATCGATTTTATCGATTTTTCTGCAAAGTTTTACTTACGAGCTGGTAGTTGGCACAAGGGGTGAGTGAGCATGCTGACTACGAAAATTATATTGACAGGGCCGGGTGGAGCCGAGTTTGCCAGCTAGTTTCAAATATGAAGCCAAGTGTAGTTTTATTTATAAAGCTGTGCTAGTTGTATATCTGTATGTATGTCTATTGTTCGTCTGTATGTATCGTTCTCTGAACCGATCCAGATTACATTGGCACACACTTTGGGGCGGGGCGGATGTCATAGGCTACATATCTTTGTTGATCGGTTTCGATTTTATCAATTTTTTGCTAACTTTGAGCTACGGGGTTGGGCACAGGAGGTTATATTACTGACCGGCCGGCGGAGTCGAGTTTGCCAACTAGTCGAATATAATAAGGTCATTGCACGAGATCGCCCGAATGCGCTCTGATGACTCATACGCCTTAATGCCGACGTTAGCCCGCAAGAGACACGCTCGCGAGCGAACAGTCCGAGCGATTTCGTGCAGTCAACTATCAAGAACTCATAATAACGGGCTAAGGGTTGTTTACGTGTTTTTGTGTGTGTGTCTGTGTGTGTGTCCGTCTGTTACAAAATTCGTAGAGCGTGTTTCAGCCAGTGTTCTAAACCCAAATTTTGCATAATGCTCCCTTCATGAAAGTCTAACATGCAAAAGCACGTGTAGATTCGTTGAGTGGATTCCTCAGAAACTGTGCGCCAAACGGATCCACCTGGCTTCTGTCCCGCAAAATTGGGTCTGTATCACCACTTTTTGCAAAGTCGTGGATGTGTTTGCTTAGCAAATGTGCAAACGATGGACTTTAGCCCAAAAAGTGGTCAAAAGTCTACTACATAACGAAAACGGCGCCAAAATGAATTGGTTGTGTAAATGGTCAATTTGCCAAGGTTCTAGCCAAGCGTTTGAGAAGATTTTCGCACAGAGATGTAGCTCACGGTTATCATTACCTTTATGGCGACTACCAAGCCATGACAAATCCAAAAACCTATTCAAATTTGCGTTTGTCTTCCTGCGAAAAGTTTCATCCACGCGAAATCACCGATCTCACGTGAAAAGACTTTCTAAATGAGTAGTTGTTTACATTTTATTCGTGAAAGTCGGCATAGCGCGGTGAGTTCCAGTGCCACAAATTACGACAATGAGTAAGGCACATAGATGGTAGAGCCAGTGCGAGCCTCTTCGAAGCAGAGGTGACGCACTGGTACAATTAATAAGGCTCGGCCCATCCTTAGTGTTCGACTGAGGAATGGCTCCTTTGTAAAACCGGTCGATCGAATTTGGCTTCCAATTCCGGCACTAGGCGTATGGCACGTGTCTTTTTTTCTTGAAGACTGGAAAAGCCTCACTCTCAAAATCAATTTATCCTTGCCCTTCGTGCACTTTCCCAGGTCGCCGTTGAAGACTTCCGCATATTTTTTATTCAAATCGGCGACCACTCCAGCTCGAAATTTTTCTTCGCTGATTGTTGTCCTTCAGTTTGGGTTGTTTCATACTGCCGCACTGACTGCAGCAGTCTGCAGCAGACTGCAGCAGACTGCAGCTGACCGCACTGACCGCAACGACCGCAGCGGCTGTAGCACGCAGGCGGAGAGGATAAATAGTTGTGGTTTAAACAAATAACAACAATAAATAATAAACAAAACAAATAACAACAATAAACAAATAACAAATAACAACAATACAATAACAAAAGCAAAAGACAACACGGTTTAGAATGTTGCAAAACAGGTATATGCAATGATAGGAGGAATTAGAACAAATACGAATATACCAAAGAAAACTATCGCCAAAATTTGATTGAGAAGAATTCTGATGGAACTTATAATCTTCTTATGAGTAAATCACACTGTTTTGGTAATCGCGGTTGTTTTCTTTTAAGAATAGAAACTGCGACCGGTGCGGTCAGTGCGGTCAGCTGCAGTCAGCTGCAGTCAGCTGCAGTCTGCTGCAGTCTGCTGCAGTCAGTGCGGCAGTCTGAAACAACCCTTTCGTGTATACTGACAAGTGAATACACCACTCCTATACCAATGAGTGTAAACTTTTGTTGACGTTGTATGTGCAGCTTCCATGTACGATTCCCTCTGTAAGTTGATCTTTATCAGGAATTTGATTGAAAAGACACCATATATCCGCGTCGGTGTCCCGTCTGCAGTTTTTACTGGCGTGGTTTCAGACCAGGATTAGGATATAGGTTTTCATTCAAGCTTTAAGCGATACAAGAGGCGTATCCGCACTTGTGTCCGGAGTTTGGGAGAACATTTTTTGATAACGACGCTGAGGTATCGTCTCCTCCACAGCTCGTGCTACCCTTAGTCTGCGTCTCAGACCTGCCACGTGAGGCTAACACGTTGGCAACGTGGCAACGACATATTTGCAACATGCCACAACATGTTGGCAGAACATTTTGGCTACGCCAACATGTTGCTGCCTGTTGCCAACGTGTTGTTGCCAACGTCGTAATCGTGTTGATTACACGTGGCACGTCCGCGAGCCAGAAGGATAGCACGAGCTGTGGAGGGGACGATATATTCGCGCGTCTCGGCGTCGAAGGCGACCACACGTTTGCATTGTCTACTGCGGCCAAATTGCTGTGCTCCGGTGCTCTGCCGCTTCTTCCGATTAGTGTTGGCTGAATACGGGCAAATGGTTCTCCGCATTTACAAGATTAACGTTAGAGCAAATGCTACAGCAATTTTTCTTTTCCCACACAGCGATGTCGTGCTTGTTTTCCATGTCCGTGTTTTCCATTTTGAAGGCAAAAAATTTTACAGCCACTGACTAGTTCTTCGATTGTCAATGGTGCTTCATCTGTGTGGGCGCACGACGGATCATCCAAAGCCGAACTGTAAGTGGGAGGGATTTTGAGAACCCACTACGAACTGCAGCGTCTTTTTCGCTATGTAGTCGAGCTCTTTCGGAGCATCCTCGTTCATCCGCTTGATAAATGTACTTGCGAAATGGTGCGTATGCTGCTGTAAACGGAGGACAAGTTATCCTCATTCACTACCGCCTTCTTTCGACAAACGTTTTCGCTTTCTCGTCTTCTTAACTCATTTTGGAGGAGAATTTTTGGAAATTCGCGATGGTGGCGTCGAAGTCCAAGTTGTGTGCTTGCGCAGATAAGTTCATCTGCATACTTTCGGTTTTCTCTTCTTCCGGCTTTGTAAGGATCAAATTGCGCTTCTTGTAATCCGGCAGCTGGGAGTAGCGAACGACCGGTCTGTAGCCGCCGTACCAGAAAGCAAATGGGTATCATCGTCTTCTCGGCATATGTTGGGCGGAGCCTAGGGCGCTTTGCGGACTTAGGCCGCGTGGGGCGGCCGCGCAGCGCCGCCAATCGATTTCGCCGATCAGCTGATTATTTTTTTTCGTTTGCGACGGCGTGCAAGAGCTTTTTCTATGTTTTCTTTATCGTTTTTCTTTCAAATTTGAGGAAATTTGCCGACAATGGATGGGACCTCCGATTCGAAAGATTAGAACCCAAACAGTAAGATGACGTTGAGGAAAAAAAGAAGATAGAATGAGAATAATTTCAATATGAGCAAAGGGCAGTTAACACGTGCGTTCGAGCAAGCAAAACAACAGAATGACTGTGTAATCTTCTGTCAGAATCCCACAGCAATCCAATTCCAGTCGCTATCGTCGAATTATGTCGAAGCTGGAACAAAAACGGTTGTATCGCATGCAAAAAAACCAGTGACGCTTTCGCAAACGAAAAATAATCAGCTGATCGCCGATATTGATCGGCGCCGCCGACGCAGCTTCGCCGCAGGGCGTAAGTCCGTGAGAGCGCTTCAGTCTCCGCCCAACTACGCCGGGGAGGAGACGATACCTGTCTCTTCGTATGAGGTAAATCTCTGCATTTCTTTGCTCAGCTGTTGATCCTTGTTGGCGTCGTGGACGGCTATCGTTTAGTCAAAGCAGTCCAGCGTCCCCATTTGCTCCAGTTGTGCTTATACAATTGCACTTGCATTTGCTCCTGTTGAGCCTATAGCCGCGCCTACATTCTCGAACAGTCGATGGGATACCTCTAGAGTGCAAAATGGGGGGTGGCCGGGGTCTCCTCAGGAGGGTTCGCCACTCGTTCCCCGGAACCTTCCCATTTTGTGCTCCGGATGTCCCCGCGGCATACTGCAATTAGCTCTAATTAGCTCAACACCGCCCTCGGGGATCCATGAGCAAAACGATGGTTTGGGTCCATTTCATCTATCTTCCAACGATATTATGGTTCAACACATTTGCTGAATCGATCATGGGCACTACCTTATGATATAAGGAACACGTTCACAGCGTCTTTATCACAGTTAACCTTACAATATTGCACTTAAAGCACGTGTCTAGATGAGCGGAGCTAGAGAGTTACGTAAGCAGTGAAAGGATTTACAAGGGAATGGTCAAAAGTCGAAGTGGCCAAACCAAACAAGCTGTATATCATTAGATGCAGTATAAAACGCTGAATTTGAATCTGTCTTCCTTATCTGCTTATCGCTTCACAAGCAGTTTTATTGTGAAAAATCATACATAAAAACAGCGAAATTGAGCACATTGTTGCACTTTTAGCTCAGC